TTATGTTTTCATGTTTTCCATCCGGAATAAAATCCGCGCACAAAGCTTTTGTTTGCGAATATAATATAAAATAGTCTATTGTTTAGTGAAATATATTATTATTTCGCGTACATATATATATATAACAACTTTCAGCTACCGGTTATACTCTCGAATTGAAATTTATGTGCAAACTTCATTTGCAATTCAGATTTGGTGGAAGTTTTACGCGCGTCGTATTTCATTTGGGCGCATAAAACGGACGCGCTGCTGAAAATTTTTAATTAGACGTCGGTGCAACGCGCGCGCGCCTCGTTTTTTAACGATAATGTGCGCATAAATGAGGTTATGTCGTTTGTACGCGCGCAGAGGAAATTCTCGATATTACAGCGTGTAATTGGAGGAATTTAAGTTTTCGAAAGCGGATAGTATTGTTAAATGATATCTGTACATTCGGGGCGCGTTTACGATGTGACATTGTGTAAGAAACAAGCGAATTTCCCGGAGGCGGCTGGCGGCAGCAGTTGCGAAGCGATTAAAAGATTGAGACCGGATGATTAGCAAGACATGGAAAAGATTTCTACGGACTTTTCTAAGATTATACTTTTCGTCGGCATTTTTCTGTTTTTTCGGTTAAATATCAAAACATTAAAAAAAAGATCAATACCAAAAACACGCATATATTTTTGTTGTTTGTGTGGATTATGATTCCGAATGCACAAATTGAATTCAATGGGCAAATTGAATTTTCACAAACAAAGGAAATTATATTGTCACGACTTATCGTCTCGTAATATCTCCATATACATGTGCCAGGCGCCTCCACCACCCCGATGTGCATCCACAGAGAAACAATTGAATTACGACGAGGTACACACGTTGTACATTTACGAAATTTGGGTACTAATAGAATAAGCTATAATTTTAATACTGACGTGTTAACGTGCACACTGCGAGCTAAAATACGCCCGCATTTAATTACACAAAACATTGATTAAAATATTTGTAAAATGGTAATTTATGCAAATAAAAATTGGAATAACTCGCAAACTAAAAGAGATAGAATTAAAATTTTTAGTGTAAAATATAGATAATTTTATGGTCTATAATGTGTACTATACAGTAACTTAAAACAAATTATATTATTTGTGTAATTTAAAGAAAATCAATAAAAAATCGATTAAATATAATAGTAAAACATTAATTTATGCAAATAAAATTCGTGATAACTCGCAAACTAAAAGAGATAAAAATAAAATTTTTAGTGTAAAATGTAGATAATTTCATGGACTATAATGTGTACTATACAGCAACTTATAAGAAATTAAACTTTTGCTGTTATTTAAATAAAATCAATAAAAATCGATTAAAAATTTTTAAATTCAAAAACACGAATGACATCGACAAGAAATTTCATTAATTTACCTATAACAAGACTCTCTAGCATCAGATGAAACGCCAGAGCAGTTAAACAACTTAACGATTATACAGAGTGTTGCATAAATTAAATAAATCACCACAAAAACAAAAAATAAATTATAAAACGCTAAAATTAATTGAAAATCGTAGAAATTTATTTTCTTTCAATAGAATTCCACCATTTGCAAGTTCAAACACTCGGTTGAAATAGATTGACGCCGAGGAAGATGTGAAAAAGCGCTGGCAGGAACAGGAATCAAGCCACCCGCGATACTTCGTACTCAGTGCGGGTGCGAAAGTAAAGATTTATGTGGGGACGCGATGGCAGCGCGAAGAAGTAAAGAAGTGAAGAGTGAAAATGACTAATTGAATTCGAGCGAAGGCATCTCAAACATCGTAACATGGCTTCCCTATAAATGTATTTAACTTCATCACTCATTGCATCAGCGCTTCACGCGCGCGCGCGCGCGAACTCCATTTGCATTCATGGCGTCGCGTAACAAAGTTTTATCAAGCAGCAATACCCACTGCGATGCTTTTATTTGTTTCCGTCACGGATTGATACTTTACCATCAACAAGTAAACCAGGGCTGAAATTTTTCACAATCCAATCTCGCTAATGGTAATAAATTACGCCTGTCAATACCTCCATTTTCTATTTGTAGATAATTTTGAGGTTAGATCGGTGTATATATGTATAAATGTAATGGACTCATCCACACGTGAATATCGGTACGGTGCGCATCTATAAGCAAATCAATATAAACGTGATGAAATTGCTTGAATGAATTATTCACCAAACTGACGACTGCGTTATTATTATTATGTCCGCATATGTGTGTTCAATGCAGCCGCCAGCCGTCATTATTGTGATGATGATTATTATGTATGCATTATGTTAACAGTTGTAAAGAAATTAAATTTCGACAGTATCGACAGGATGCGCGCGGAGTGATTTCCATATTGTTGATGGAAATACAATATGGCGGCAGCACATAAATTTGACCTTGCTTTAATCATAACCACGGGAAGAGGGTGCTGGTATTCTAATAGGGAAAGTGTCAACAGCCAGCGCGGAGTCACATGCCGAACGGAACTCCGCGGCACGTGCGTGGCATTCCAACGCATAGCTGCCTGGCACCTCCACCAGCATCCCATGGCTGAGAATATAGGGATGCGTCCCGTACGTGCTCTGATCAATAACAAAAGATGCGGGCAAATAATTTTACGCACCGGGGTATTTCGCCACTAGCTGATAAATTCGGGAAAAATTTCTGCATTGTAATCAATATTCTTTTATGCTTACAAAATTGATTAAAAAAATTTTTGTGAAAATAAAATAAAAATTGTCATTATTTTCGAAAATATTAAAGAAAAATATTGATAGAAGGTCAGAAACTTCAAAAATTGACAAATTTTTTGTGAAAAAATTGTTTTTTGTTTAAAAATGTCAAAAAATCTTGTTTAACGGATAATAAACTTTAATTTTCATAGATTTTTGTAAAAATTTACTAGTTACCAACTATAAAACAATTAATATTAGTCAAATTCTTCAAAAACAAGATAAATATCATATTTTTCTTACTAAAAACATAAAATACACAAAGAAAAATGTAAAAAAACTAATTGAATGTCTAAAGACGTCATGAGACTTTCAATAAACAAATTTCTTGGGAAAAACCTAATGAAATCTGTTTACATTCCAAAAACTCGTGAGATTTTCCTCCTGCAGACGTTTTATTGCGTAAAAACCTTAAAAACCAGTCTCTGGCAGATGTTAAACCTCTGTTTACGTAAATTTACGTAATAATCAGCTGGCTACTGGCTAGTGTACTTGATAAATCGAATAAAGGTTATTTCCCGATATTAAAACGAAAGCAGCCCGAAATATAAAATAATAAAAAAGCTTTGCCGCAGTTCGGATCGATGCGACGAGCCGTCCCCACTATATATCGCCACGAATTCGAGCGGTAAATTTTTAATACAGTTATCTTCATCGTTTGTAAACTGTAAAGAACTTAGATCCATATTCACACATCCAACATCAACGAAGCCGATTTTTTGTTCTGTGTGTGATCTGTAGCTGTTGAAAAGCAAGCAGACACATTAAATTAGCAAAGTGTTTATCTGTGTTAAACTTGCGTCACTTTGACAGACTGCAGCAAAATGTGCGCAAATTATGTACGCGCTTGTAACGTGTGCGCGCCTCTTGATAACGCGCGCGCCCCGGGTCTCGGCTCATTTGCGAAATTGCAATATTAAATCAATAAATCAGACATCCGCGAAAATAAGCAGCGCAACGAGCGTAAAACGAGGCAATTAAGAGCGACGAGCACAGCAATGGGGGTTCGAAATGCGGCACAAGCTTGCGACGGTTGCGATGTCGCGTACAACTCTCGCTCCGCCACACTCCACGACTCCACTCTCAAGTTGTATACGGTATTATTGTGCTCGGCGCGGCGCGCACCAAGAGCGCCGAAGTTAATTGTATAAATAAGAGGATTATACATATATTGCCCTGCTTGGCGCTGTACGAATGCCTCTGCAATGCCTGCAACTTACACTTACATACAGAGATACTTACAGCGCGCACACTCGTATTCGTCGAGTGGACGACTCTGCACCAAACTAGGCAACTTACTTCACTTCTTACATCCGAGAGTGGGTTATTATCCAATATGAGCACCAATGACATAAAAATCTAACCTGACTTTGTATGGTGTAAAATAAGTTGCCTATAGTGCGGTCACAGCGATTTCCACATGCTTGCACGACAACTGAATGTGAAATTAGACGTAATTCAAGTCTGTCGAACTCATTGAAGCAATGATGACTTTATTCTAGCAGTGATATATTTCTGCTTTGGTTTGATAGCATGCGCAGAAGCATAAAATCACTGCGGCAGCATAAAAAACACGAAAATATGTCTATGCGCACCTGGCACTCGGGCGTAAAATTTAAATAAATCTAAAAATATCACAGGATTCATGCGCGATCCACACGGAAGCAATAATAACAATAATTTTCTAAGTGAAACGTAATATCGCCACGGCGCGCGGAATGCACACAGAAGCAAGGGGCAATGAATGCAAAATAGAAAATGAAAATGCAAAGTGTAAAATCAGTGGCGGTTGGCGTTATTATTTTTTTTTTGCGCGCCTTGCTGCCGCAGCGCATTTGCACGAAACCTCTCCTTCCTTTTACTTCCTGTTCCTGCAATCCTGCAAAACGCGCCGGCGTTATTTATTCCGGCCTGCAGCAGTATATATAGCACACCGCCGAGAGAACGTTTCTATTTCTGCATAGTTTCGCAAATTTTTCGGCTGCATATTATTTTATTTTTCCATAATGCATTTTCCATTTTCATGTGCAGAATGCACACAGCCCGGCGAGATTGCGGAGGCGCGATAACCACATCGCCAGTAACTAGTTTTCATTGGGGACGGGTCATAGTAGTAGTAAACCAACCCCTGGACTGCGGATGTGCGGTCGCACCACGCAAAAGTCTAAATGTATTAAAATTAAACCTCCGAATGCAAATATTTCCACACATACAGAGAGTTTTCATAATTTTTTTTGATAAAAAATAATCGGGGACCAACCTTATTATGATTATTGTTGCTTGAAGATATTTATTGTTTCAATGGCAAGCGCCGGAGTAGTTTATCTCATTTGGAATGGGTAACACACCGCTGTTGGGCATTGAAATTGTCCACTCCACACGATTAATTTAATCTTGAAGCTGGTGCATGCCCTGTGCCGCACAGATGTGTGATTAAATAATTAACAACAATGACGCCGCCGCCGACTTCACCATCTAAGTCACTCGTTTGCTAGTGTTTTATTTTATTCTCGGTGCGGTGTCGCGCGGCTTGCTCCAGCAGAATGTATGCAGAGAGAGAACACACACAGGCTGTGACCGGGACCCGTGATATCGGACCGATGAGACTGGTGCACTTGATACGAGAAGACTGCCGCCGCTGCACTGCCGTCCCGGCGCTATTACGTCACACCGCACACGCGTACTACCAGCGCTACTAGGTTACAGGGTTAGCAATAATAAAATACGAAAGAACGCCGCCGCCGCCGCCGCCGCGCTGCCACCACCGCCGACGTACACGCCGCCGCGATATGTCCGCATGCTGCTGCTGCTCGCACACGCCACCAGCAATGCAATAAACAAAGTGGGGGGACGCAATTCTTGTGTGCGCCAGGTGGAAATCAAAAAAATAACAACACTCTCACGACGCTGAGAGTCGTGAAAAGCTTGTTTTGCGGGAATTTTGCGCAGAAATTGCACACGTTGCCTCCCCCACTCTGCAGCGCGTCTCCTTACGCTCATGAGTAAATTACAGAAATGCAGGATTTCGCAAACAAAAGGACGGACTACTGGGTTACGGCTATTTTTGGCAAACATCATATAGCCTGCATATGTAAACAAGGAAACTATATTGATTCCCGTGGCGACCATCCCGAAAAAGCGACCGGGTGGCCAATGAATACACACGTTCATCGCACGAAACGAGTTGCTATTCTTCTTTTGATACGCCAAAAGAGCCGAAAACATAATTGTATCGATTGGCGATGGTCTACAACGCTCGCAAGGGAAGATTTCTCCATCTTTGCGCTGATTAATTGTAAAGTATCCTTGTGATTTTACAAGGGGTAAAAAGTTTTGATGGTGTATTAGTTAAAATCCTCCCTCGTAGAGGGCGCTAGTAAGTATTACTCTTCAAACTTCGCCAATTCGCAATAAATTTTTACCTGCGTATTATTTTAGTAAAAATTTAATTATCTACTATCGTCTTATTTCTTAAGTTTATTATGTGTCAATTGTATTAATAAAATTCGCATTTTTATTTTTAAGAAATGAAAATTGCTAATAATACACTTAAGCGCCATCTATTATTGAATTATTTAACTATAAATGTGTCTACCTATTTTCATATCTTATTAAATCGTAATTTTAAAAAATTTTACTATTATCTCAAAACCAAAACATCAAACATATAACAATTATAACTTTTACCCAAAAAGAAATGTCGTATTTTACTTTACAAATCCGTTTTAAGGTTAACCTGTTGTTTGTCTCGTAAACGTTGGGCGTTTTCATACAATTCCAATTCTATATTACACGACTTCAAGATAATTCCGATACCCTCTTCCCAAGATGCGCGTACCTCAAAATTTCTGCTCACCAGCTGCTTTACAAGCCATCCGACTAACTCACTAAATGCTTTCCTGAACATATCTGTGTTGATGGTGCCCTTAATAATATTATCCATCTGTTTGCTCACTAAACCGGACATTCGTTCGCCAATTGATAAGCCAGTTATCACAAACTAAAAAACAGCCACAATTCAACTAAAGAAGTAATTAATATTCCTATATACTAACCTTTGGGTCTATGGTTGGTATTGCGGTAACAGTAAAGTCTGATACAGCAAGCACTACTCCTTCAACATCAAACGCCATTTTGAAACTAAAAATTATTCACATTGTTTAAAAATTTACTCAGCATCAATGTTCTTTACTCGATATTTCCGGTGCCAATCAAATCGGTGATTCCCACAAGTCTGCTATTAAAATCGTACAGACTCGTCACACGAAGTTCGTGCAACTTGAATGTATAATTAATAATTACTTCGAAATGTTCATTGATTGTCAGATCCGCAGTCGCATCAAAATTACTGATACCCGCAATGGTGAGCTCGCTCAGATTGTAATTACCGCTGGAATTTCATATAAAAATATTCGATTTAATCATAAGAAATAAATTGGTTATACTTACGCAAACATAGGCCACTCAACTGGCAAATTAATATCCGGTAAATGAATTTCCGCAAATGGTGGTATTCCCAATTCTTCAAAACCATTGTTAATCACATCTTTCAAACAATCGATTAGGTCCTCAAATTGTGCTGTACAAATAATAATTATTGATTAACATTAAAAAGGTTCTTATTTATATTTCTGACAACTCACGAATCTCCTCTGCGTTGATTCCTCCGATTAACAGTAAAACAAAGGTAAAATATTTAATAAGGTGTGACATGTTTACAGACTACCTGATTCCAACAACTACTGGTTGTTAACGTGTACAAATCAATTAGATTCTTATCAGACACAAAAATTAATCTTGATAAGTCTAGAGATTTGATAACGTGTTTGATTAATGAACAACTTTACTTTATTTTCGAATATAATCATCAATGACGCAATAAAATCTAAATTTTTTCAACAATTATATAATGTAACATTTAACACTACAGGTAGAACATCGATTGATAACATTTTATTAAAAATATACGCCTATTTATTGTCGCCTATCTTCTATCACCCTTTGAATCAATTCCTACACTTAAGCTATGCATTTCTGCGGTTGAATTACCCCGCCAGGTCCTGGCAATGATGTGTTTCCATTGTTTAAGAATTCATCGACACGTTTGGCGGCCTGTCGACCTTCGGATATTGCCCAGACGACTAAACTTTGACCACGGCGACAATCTGCAACAGATTCATAATAATATTGTGATAATAAAATAGATAAATCAAGTTTACCGCCAGCAGCAAAGACGTTTGAACAACTTGTTAGATACTCATTGGCTTGGAAGTTGGACCGCGCATCCAGTTTGAGTTCCAGCTGATTACCAATAGCCCTTTCTGGACCTAGGAATCCCATGGCAAGTAGAACCAAATCAGCTTTGTATACTTTCTCAGTGCCTGGCATTTGTTTCATCTCCCATCGACCGCTATCGTCTTTCACCCATTCAACGTTAATCGTACGCACACCACAAACATGGCCGTTACCATCATCTAAGAACTCCTGTGTCAGTGTGCTAAACACACGTGGATCAGCACCATGCCTCACTTTGACTTCATCATGTCCGTAATCCACGCGGAAGATGCGCGGCCATTGTGGCCAGGGATTATCAGCGCCACGTTTTGGTTTCGGTTCGGGGAGAATTTCGAATGTTGTAATTGACGCAGCGCCATGACGCAATGAAGTAGCAATACAATCACAGCCGGTATCACCACCACCAATGACAATGACATGTTTATCTTTGGCATGTGGTCCTTCGACGGTTCCGCCCAATTGACGCTTCTGCCAACTTTCTAGGAATTCCATCGCGAAGTAAATTCCACCTAGTTCACGACCAGGTAATGGTAGGTCACGCGGCCATGTTGCACCCGTGCATAATACAACGGCGTCATTTTCTTCGCAGAGGTCTTTCGCCGAAATGTCTTTACCCACATTGACGTTGGTTTGGAATATGATACCTTCAGCTGCGAGCAGATCTACTCTTCGCTGTACTACAGTCTTGCTAAGTTTCATCGTCGGAATACCATATTGCAATAATCCACCAATTCTGTCATTGCGTTCGAACACAGTCACCAAATGACCGCTTTTGTTAAGCTGCTGAGCGCAAGCTAGACCAGATGGACCGGAACCAACAATGGCGACACGTTTTCCACTTCGGATGGGTGGCAATTGCGGTTGGATCCATCCGTTTTCAAACGCATGATCAATAATGGCACATTCAATGTTTTTAATGGTAACTGCGGGTTCACTAATGCCCAATACGCAAGCAGCTTCACAAGGAGCAGGGCAAACACGCCCGGTGAACTCAGGGAAATTATTAGTTTGCAATAAATGATTCAAAGCCTGCTGCCATTGATTCTGGAATATTAACAGGTTCCATTTTGGAATGATATTACCCAACGGGCATCCATGACTGTTTGATTGACAGAAAGGCACACCACATTCCATGCATCTCGCTGCTTGTACCCGCAATCCTTTACGGACATGCTGAAAGTTGTAAATTTCATCCCAATCCTTGAGACGTTTCTCCGGTGGCCTATACATGACAGTTTCACGTTGATACTTCATAAAACCTCGTGTTTTATCTAAAGCTCTCTCGGCATTTTTAACCTCTACCGATACATTCGGTACAGCATCTTCTATATCTTGAATTTTCGGCTCTGCGCCATTACCATTCATAACACCATTGGTCTTAACCTCTTTGGTAACCAACGCACCTTCTTTGATAGCACGCTGGTAATCATAAGGGAAAACTTTAACGAATTCCTTCACCTTCGCATCGAAATCATCGAGGATTTTCTGCGCGACTAGACTACCCGTATTCTCGACAAATTCCTTTAGTAAATTCTTAACTAATTCTATATCTTCAGCTATTTCCAATTTGCATAGCTCCACCATTTCATGATTACATTTGGCTTTGAAGGTACCATCAATGTCCCAAACGTAGGCGATACCACCGGACATACCAGCAGCAAAGTTGCGACCAGTCAAGCCCAGAATCAAAACCGTCCCACCCGTCATGTATTCACACCCGTGATCACCTACACCTTCAACCACAGCCGTAGCACCCGAATTACGAACGGCGAAACGTTCGGATGCTATGCCACGCATGAATGCCTTACCACTTGTAGCACCATACAAACAAACATTACCACAAATAACATTCAGATGAGATTCAAAAGGTGACACCTTCGGAGGGTAGATTATAATGGTACCACCTGATAATCCCTTACCGACGTAATCATTCGCATCACCTTCTAGGGTACAAGTGATGCCTTTGGCTAAGAACGCACAGAAACTCTGACCAGCAGATCCTGTTAAATTGATATTGATGGAGTAACCATCTGGGAGACCCTCCTCGTGATATTTCCTGGAAATTACAATAAAAAAACATTATGGTTTTACCAAACAATAAAAAATGGTAAAATTTAATACTTGGATATGTGATAGCTGAGAGTGCTTCCAAACGCCCTGCATTCATTGTGTATCTTCATCGCAATGGATACACTCTTAGTGGCGCCATCTATAACCCCCGCTGCTTGCTTAATCAACTCGTTATCCAATCGCTGTTCTAGCTGGAAGTCCTGTTTGTTTGATCCACCCTTTATATTCACACCAGGACGCATGTGCAGCGCATTCTGCAGAATCAAATTCAGATTCAAAAGTTTCGCTTTTGTATTCCCTGTTTCCAGAGGTTTCAAAAAGTCAGTGCGTCCAATCAACTCCTGGTAAGTGCGCACACCTATAGCCGCCATGTGCACACGCACCTCCTCAGCAACCATAAACAAATAATTGATAACATGTTCCGGTTGTCCAGTGAATTTTTTCCTCAGAATAGGATCCTGTGTAGCGACACCTACAGGACATGTGTTCAAATGACATTTCCTCATCATGGTACAACCGAGGACAATTAGTGGTGCGGTACTGAATCCGATTTCATCTGCGCCTAAGCAAGCAGCAACCACAACATCAAAACCTGTACGAATTTGTCCATCAGCCTGCAGGACAATACGTGATCGTAGATTATTCAAAACCAGCACCTGATGGGTCTCAGCAACACCCAACTCCCATGGTAAACCTGCGTTTTTGATACCAGTCCAGCTACTGGCACCAGTACCACCATCATGACCGGAAACAACAATATGTTCGGCTTTACCTTTGGCCACACCGGATGCAACCACACCAACACCCACTTCGGAAACAAGTTTCACCGAAATCCTCGCGTCTGGATTAGCACACTTCAAATCGTAAATCAACTCAGCCAGATCCTCAATTGAATAGATATCGTGATGTGGTGGCGGGGAAATCAACCCGACACCAGCAACCGAATGTCTTGTTCTTGCAATATCAACCGTAACTTTATTTCCTCCTAATTCACCACCTTCACCTGGTTTGGCACCCTGCGCCATTTTGATTTGCAAATCATCCGCATGCGCCAGATATGAAGATGTCACTCCAAATCGCCCAGACGCAACTTGTTTGATAGCTGATCGCTTCTCAGAATCTAAATATCTCTCCGGATTCTCACCACCTTCACCGGTATTACTCTTGCCTCCTATTTTATTCATAGCCAACGCTAGCGATTGATGTGCTTCAATACTAATCGATCCGAAACTCATCGCACCAGTCGCAAATCTCTTAACAATCTCAGCTGCAGATTCTATTTCAGATAATGGTAACGGTTGGTCCAGTTTACGCAACTCCAAACGACCACGCAACATGCAATTACGCACCGATTCCATGTTAGACTCGCAGAATTTCTCATAAGCACTTTTACTCTTGTTAGTTGCCGCCTCCTGCAACGCTGCGATACTTGCAGGTTCATTCAGATGTTTCTCACCACCAGCTCGCCAATGGTAATTGCCTATATCCCTCAAAATACGTGAATCTATCGCTAGTTGATACGCATTTCTATGTCTTTCAAAAGCTTCCCCTGATAAAATCTCCAAAGTAACTCCTCCAATCCTAGACGGAGTATTTTTAAAACACTTATCAACAACATCATCAGCCAAACCAACAGCTTCGAAAATTTGCGCTCCTTTGTATGACTGCAGTGTAGAAATACCCATTTTCGCCATTACTTTATTGATACCAGTCTGCATAGCGGTTGCATAGTTGTTAAACACAACCTCATCAGTATACATTGCATCAAGCACGCCATTTTCCCTCAAAGACCTCGCTAGTTCCAAAGGTAAATACGGACAGATAGCATCTGCGCCATAACCTAACAAAACACAAATATGGTGCACCTCACGAGCCTCTGCTGTTTCGACAACCAGCGCCACCTTCATCCTCGCACGGGTTTCAATCAAATGATGATGAACAGCACCAAGCGATAGTAAACTGCTAATTGGCACACGATTCTCGCATGCACGACGATCAGACAACACCAAAATTTGATTCTTTTTGCTTGCTTCATTGGCCTCATCACATATCTCCTGCAAACGTGTCAACATCCCTGACGGTCCCAATGCTACATCATAGGTGGTATCAATGACTTTCGTTGTCCAATCACGATGCGTCGTCAGTTTCAACACTTCTAAATTATGTATAGACATAATCGGTTGTCTCAACCATAATCTATGCACGTGCTTAGCACTGGGCTCCAGAATATTCTTCTGTGGCCCAATGGGACACTCCAAAGACATAACAACTTTTTCTCGGAATGGATCAATAGGCGGATTAGTAACTTGCGCGAAAAGCTGCTTGAAGTAATCGTATAACAAAGGAGTAAACTGCGAGAGACAAGCAAGTGGCACATCGTTACCCATCGAGCCTAGGGCTTCCTTTTTATCGTTCAACATTGGCAACAATAGCATGCGTATGGTTTCGGTGGTGTAGTTATACATCGATAAACGTTTATCGCTTAGACCACTCGGCGCGTATGTTGCTTCCGGCGGGTGACCGGCTTCCAAGTGAGCCTTACGAAGATCATCCATTGTGATCTAATAAAGAAATCATAGATAATAAAATGTTATACCTAACACATTGTAACCAACGCAAAAATCAAAATATTTAACGAGAAACATGCGCGAAAACAGCTTAAAACTAAAAATTTGGACGTTGTCGTTGTCCTGGGAATCAAATTCAAAGCTACACAATCAACGACTACGATCACTCACCATCTGCGGACGCCATTTTAATCACATGCAAAGAAATAAATTCGCAATGTCATTATATGAAATTTTCGTGATTATAGGTTATATATCCTTAACCTAATCTATGTATATTTATAAAACATAACCTAGAATATACCTGTTCGTTTAACCAATCAGTATGTGGTCGTGATTGGGCAATGTGTTGCTTCAGAGCGACATCTTGAATGAAACTCTTCTCTTCAGTATCCACCAATAACATCCTACCAGGTTTAAGGCGGCTTTTCAGCACTACTTCAGCAGGATCCACATCGTAAACACCAACCTAACCAATAAATTAAATAAAATTGTTTAATATTTAATTATTATTAATAAATATAAACAATTAATACCTCACTAGCCATTATCATGGTGTTATCTTTGGTTAGATAAAACCTCGATGGTCGCAAACCGTTACGATCCAAGATGGCGCCGATGTAGCGTCCATCAGTGAACGAAATCAAAGCAGGACCATCCCATGGTTCCATGGTACACGCAGCCCAATGGTAATAATTCCTTTTCTCTTCAGACATTGTTGGATCATTCTGCCATGCTTCCGGTACCATTGTCATAACAGCTTCCGGTAGGGATCTTTTACCCGCGTGTACCAAAAACTCCAAAACACAATCAGCCGATCCGGAATCGGATAAATTCGGTTCTACAACCGGGTACAACTTCTGAAGATCATCCCCGAATTCATCGCTGTGCATAACACCCTCCCTGGCTTTCATACAATTGACATTACCACGCAGTGTGTTGATTTCGCCATTGTGGGCCAACATACGCAGAGGATGTGCACGCTCCCAACTCGGAAAAGTATTCGTAGAAAACCTCGTATGGACCAATGCAAGATAAGTTTCAAACATAGGTTCACTCAGGTCCAAGAAATACGTCCATAATTGATCGCTGGTCAATTGTCCCTTGTAGACAATGATGCGTCTGCTCAGCGAGCAGACATAGAAGCGTTTGCCAGGTGCTGGTATGGTATGCGTGCCGCGTTTACGCAGCACGAAGATTTTCGTATCAAAATCAGCTTCGCTAATCGCCGCATTCGATTGCACGAATACCTGCCGCATAAACGGTTCGGAATTCCGCGCGACTGTACCAATCGTTGAGGAATCAGTTGGTACCGTGCGCCATGCAATGACAGACAGGCCAATCTCTTGCGCCAAGGCCGCAAACTTCGATTCGGATTCATGGTGGTGTAATTTGTCTAAGTAGAATATACCGGTGGCGTATTTTCCAAACGATGGCAGTTGCACATTGTCGGAATCTCTGAAATATGTCGTTCTATAAATAACGCAAATCGTCCCGAACTTTTCGCTATCACGTGCCGACTACATGTGTGTCGTTGTAGGTCATGTGTTGCGAAATGTTTTTAAATGTTTATTGCTAGACTAGTCAAATAAACAAAGATTATCTAATTCGACACTATTTGCTTGCGCAATCATATTGATCGACTTACTTTAGTCGAGCGTGATAGAAATCATGCGGAATGGCGGCCAAGATGCCGGCACCATCACCGGTGTCATTGTCGCAGGCGCATGCGCCGCGATGGTTCATCGAGATGGATAATCGCTGCGCATCGCGCACGATTTTATGCGATCGGCGGCCATCGATGGAGACAATAAAACCGACACCGCAAGCGTCTTTCTCAAACGACGGATCGTACAAGCCTTGTTTGGGTGGCCCTTGCCACGATTCAGCCATAAGTTCACTAGAAATCATTGAAAATTACAATTTAAAGGCATAAATCCACTAGAAATCAATAAAAAAACACAATTTTACTTCGTAACTACTACGCATGCGCAGTAAAACCTTTTTATATTACTTAAATAAATGTATTTATTACGTAACACAGAATTTATTGATGTTATCACGCATATTTCCGAATGTAATAGCAATCATTTAATTTTTTCAATGAATTATTATTATTATTATTATTATTTTTATTATGGCCACACTTGATGGCGTATTTAGGTCAGCGCCGATTGTTTGATTATGTTTAATCATTTTATTAACGCTTGTTAGTTTGGCATCAATTGCATATTTACGCTGAATAAATACAAGAAAGCAATATTCGCACTCATGTTTACTTTTTCCTATGATAATGTGTGACTGGTTGCCTATAGTAAGCAAATGTAAACATCACTAACCTCGAAATTCAAAGAAAAAAGAATAAATTTGTGACTTTTTTTGAAAAGAAAACGTTTGCAATATTTTGTTTGTTTACATGCGACTCTTATCTCAACGAGTTGTTTTACGAGCGTCTAGCCAAACCGGCAGTCAGGCAGTGCACACGTTATTAAATCGATAACAAGCGCCAACCAATGACTCGTAATTACATACAGCGTACTTAACCCAATAACATACTGTATGTAAAATGGGAAATTAAAGCAATAAAACTAATCAAATAGACATAAGCATTAATGACGCACAAAAAACCTACTAATTAATGTTCGGGTGTTGTTAATTGATTTAGCGTGTAATTAGATTTTGACCTGTGATTCAAAACTCTAATACTACCAACACTTGTTTTGTTTACGTGCGCTGTGTGTGCACGTTTCGCCATAAAACGAAAACGTGATATAGAGAAGTCGATCGTGTTACAAAGTTCTCCAAAAAATTCCGAACGCGCGCGTGCTATTTATTTTCAAGCACGAGATTTGTTATTGCTAAACATCAATTTCAACTCAATCAAAATGGATTTTGTTTTTTGTTACAGCTGTCAAAATGACATGAATAAATAATTTGTAATATGAATTGTAATTGCGATTAGAAATTTTATTCGTTTTAAAGCACGCAAACAATTCACTTACGTCAATCATCTGCTACGGATCTCATCATATCTTATTTATGGAAAATTTTAGGGTGATTGGAATTACAATTGACGTAAGTAAATTGTTTTGTCTTTTTATTTCACATAGTTACTATGATGCAGTGTATATTTGGTTGCATAACTCATGAAAAATCAATTTTCGTAAAAAAACGCTAAAAATCACTCTGTATAAATATGATTAATGTTAATATTAGTCATTAACAATTACCATTCATTCGTTTATTGTAATTCGCAGTTTGAAACATGCACACACCGCATGTAACCCGAGTAAAACAAATAAGCGTCAATCACACGCCGATAACATTCCTCCGCTGAGAAAACATCAGCACTTTAGCGAAACATAAGTATCCCCATACATTTAATAATATTTATACAGCTACTTAAATTTACATAAAACCTTGATCGTGACCAATTAATTGGTGTGGACTCAATTCTCAATGTAAACACGTTCGCCGGTGAATGAATGCGAGCGCATATTGTCTCGGGTTACGTAAGAAACGTGGACATTTAAAACACCGACAACCAACACTCACGCATTCGTTATTTCTTATGATAAACCAAACAATAGATAACACAACTTGAATAATAGCATCGTTATGTAGTTGAAATTCTAAAAATAGTTTTCGTTATTTGTGTGTGAGTAATAAAACTAAAATTTTGAAGCATTTAAATTGTAAATAGGGAAAGTAGCCATATTTGGACCATTTTTATATTTTTCGATTTATAGAGCCACATATAAACTGTCAATAAAAATTAAGTAGCGGAAAAGTAACTCACAAGGCTTACCAACAAAATGATATTTTTGGTTTAAGTAAAAATTATACTTATAACCCTCAAATTTCAATTTAAAAATTGTTTTTGGTCCAAATTAAGAAACCGGTTTCCTAAATTGGACCGCGCGGTTTCCTAAATTGGACCATGCTTTTTTAACGGCAATTGACACAATAGTAAATTTTAGATTTAGAACTGACACAAGCACATTTTGTATAAACCAAAGTGCGGCATTTCATACACTGGATCATTTCGAAGATTTGTGCTCGTCCACAAGCTTTTCTAAGAGATCAAAAATGATATACGTTTTCCTGTAAAACCCGGTGCCTGTCTCCGGTCCAACTTGGGCAGCTTGAAGAATTTTTATTTAATGATCAACGACAATCTTAATATAACATAACCTCTCCAAATTAATACTATAAATTATAGATAAATAAATAAGCTTTCTGATGATATAATTATAATCGTGAAATCTAACATTTAAACAGCTTGACAGCTTATGCACTTACGTCGTTATAATAGATTTGATAATCAAGGATACAAAAAGTTGTTGTTACGACGAAAGCACGCGGCAAGTTTTAACCCAAATAGTTGCATCAATTGTTTATAAATACAGAGTAAAACAAGGGGCCTGTCTATTTTGCAAAAACATCAACAGTCCGCGGATATCGTGGTGGTCCAACTTAGGCGCTGGTCCAAATTATGCTACCTTCCCTATGAAGAGTTATCGTGAAATAACGTTAAAATTTTAATTTTTTAATTGGAAAATACAACGTAGTAGTTATCACGTTATCACGAGGTGATGATACATCGAGTAATAAAAAATAAACGAAATATTGGGATTTTACGTGGATTAGTATCTGTTTAATCTTTTGTAAGCTAGTAATAAACTTAATTATTCTTGTAAAAATACCGGTAAATATTTCCTGAAGTCTAAATATGAATTCCGCGTCGCTCAGTTGTATTCACTTGTGTTATGTTTAAATGATTTTGTTGTAACGCAACGTGCACCCCAACAAATTAGCTGAAAAATCGTGCTTAAGTTATAGAAATTTGCATTGCAATTTGTAGGGATGTTGGGATCATAATTACAACAATATTTCAAATGTTACCATCGATGTCATGTCTTTAAAAAAATATTCTAGCTCATAATTGCTAGAAATGAAAATATTTTTCATAGTTACACAGAAAAAATTAATATAAACCAACCAAATTGTTCATATTTCGTTGTTATATGGAATTTATCGATAAATCAAGGCCATATTGTATTGTTAAACCGCAAAAATCAATTTTTATTAAATAAAAGTCCTAATAATTATGTTTAATGTTGAAATATGTAATTTTAGGTTATTAACGTGTTTAAAATACTATTTTTCACACTAATGTGTAAAATATCATTTCTTGAACAACTTGTTGCTTATTTTTAAAGAAAATATATAAAATTACGCGTATAACTGTGTGAAATCGATACTGTACACATAAAATACGATAAATAACCGATAAATCATGTGTGTTACACCCTGCAATGCGATAACGCATGAATGATATAATTTTATAATGTTATCTCTACTATAACATAATTTCGTAGAGGAAATAAATATTGTCGCACACAATTTCAATGAAATCATGAATGAACTGCATTTGTATTCTACCCGTACACATAAATATTAATAAAACGTTTTATTTTTTAATTTTTAATATAAATATATTAAAATTAAGACAGTACCTTAACGTAGCCCAGAATTAAATAATGTTCCCTCCTCAAACGACACAACAAATCGATTCTCGCACGTTGTGTGCTCCCAAGGGCCTCAAGGTTTAAGGTCTATGACAGTTTTTTCAAGGGTTGCGACAGTGTCCAACACAAAGAGTCTAGACACAGTGTAAAGTGAAAATCGCGTTTTAACTTCCCGAAAGTCTACCGGTTATTTTTAACTCCGGACAGTGTGACACATGCGAGAGAGATTCCACGCCACAATTTGCATTCGATTATTCGGATGATTGACAACAATTATCGAAAGACGTGAATGCGACTGCAGGCGTGGGACACGGTTCAGACTGGCGCAGACTCGCGTCAAGCACTGAATGACGAGCGATGGAGCGGTAACGACGGAATTAACTAAAAACGTTTCGGATTCTCTGATTGCTGGTCGAACGCAACAACCAAAACACATGCGACTTGCGACCAACGTGAATCGCGGCGGCTCATGTCGTCGGTCGGTTGCATGCGTCGGCGGCGTTCGTGTAAAGTCGACGCTTTTGTGACGACGTTTTGAAAATGCGCGAGCTGCAGACATTATCGATTTATTTACGGCGCGTTTATTCATGCCACACATACGCTACGCACGCCTGTTACAACTTTTAACTCATATTTCGTTGTGTATGTCGCGCGCGTGCAGTAATCTACTTCGTTTTATTGCAGTCATAGAAGGTTAAACTAGTTTACTTGTTTGGAATTTACAGAAACATAACCTAAAAATGTAAAGTATCTATATGCATAGGTGCAACGTGTATGTTTGGTTGCATATATTAATTTTCAAACACATACGCATATCTTATACAAGTTTTTCTCATGATTTGTTGTGAATATCGCGCATATGTAGCAATAAAAAATGATTTATTGCAGTAATAGAAGGTTAAATTAGTTGCATTCTACTTGAAATTTACGAAATCATAACCTAAAAACGCAAAATAATTAAATTCTACTATTTCCAATGGAATAACGTGTATATTTGGTTGCATATATTACTTTTTAATATAATTTAATTCAAAGAATTATTTGCCCATTCATAAAACCAATTCTCTCATGACTTTGAACAACTAGGTAAACCCCACCGTGTCATTACCCATCTCCTACCATCTTCGTTTGTGAAGAACCATCATTCCATTAATGCTACGTAACTCTTAAGTGGGATTAATCCAGGTCAACTTTCACCTGTCGGCGGCCGTCGAAAAACTTTCTTAAATCATGCTGGCGTGCAGTGGAATGCCAGTGGTGTACCTGGAACGACGACCAGCCGACATCGTCCACGATGAGTTTTCGTCAACTTTTACACAGGGTAGTTCTCCGCGCCCCCAAAAACATCTACTGTCCCACCAGTGCATATCGTTATTCATCAACGGATAGCCGCAGACAACAACAACAACAAAATATTTCACATGCGCGTAAACCCGATTGGAATCGCGCAGTGAGTGAAGCTGAGAAAATCGTAGGGTACCCAACGTCGTTTCTAAGTCTCCGATGGTTGCTCTCTGATGAAATCGCCAATGTAGCGCTACATCTGCGGAAACTCGTCGGGTCGAATCATCCTCTGTTGAAAACAGCCAAGTAAGTTCAATTTAGAAAGTGGCTGGTCAATTAACATAACAATTTCTACACGACGCGAGTTTTTAAAACCAAAATTTTTCATTTTAGGGGCTTGTTGTATAATGGGAAGAATAACATGCAAGCTTGGGGTTTGATTGTGTTGCTGGTGTCGAAAGCGGCTGGCCACACCGCTGATATACCGGATATGGAACAGGATAAAGCAGCAGGTGTGCTACATTCCCAACGGGCGCTTGCCGAAGTCACCGAAATGATGCGCACCAGTCATTTGCTCCACAAAGGTATGGTCAATTTGCAGAAAGTCACCGAAGATGCCGGGGATATGATGTTCGGTAACAAAATCGCTCTTCTGAGTGGAGATTACCTGTTGAGTAACAGTTGCTCAGAATTAGCTGGTCTGCGTAATCAAGAACTGGTTGAACTCATGAGTTCGGTGGTACGTGACCTTGCGGAAGCGGAATTCGTGGGACCACGCGATAAACAAAACAATCCACTACCAGCAAAACCCAACGCGGAGAAAATGGAAATAACCCAACTAACAGAAAACGGAATTGAACCCATGGTTGTTAGTGATGCGTTAGGCAACCCTGTAGCTGAATGGACCCTGAGGAACGTCCTTAACGCTGGTTCCCTTCTGGGTAAATCATGTCAAGGAGCTCTGAAACTCGCAGGTCATTCTATTCAACTCCAAGAACAAGGATATAAATTCGGGAAGCATTTGGCTTTAGCTTGGCAGGCGTGCCTGGACCGTGAACCATTCATTCCTGGTACCACCGGATCCTTCAGCCTGGTCTCCGCGCCTGTTATGTTCCACATTCATGAAAACCCTGAATTTTATTCGGAAATTGAAAAGGGAATGGAGCGTATTAGTGATGTGGACTATGAACTGATACGTCATGCAGTACAGGCTGGCAGTAGTCTAGAGAAGACCAAAGTGTTGCAGATTGAACATTCCAATGCCGCATTGGATGTGCTCAATCAACTGCCACACTCGGATGCGCGCACAGCCTTGGGGAATATTATCGCTGCGATGCAAGACCTCTAAATTGCGCGCGCAATTAAAGTCTATTACGTTATGTACATATACACGAATCAGTGGGTTTGCAAATGGCGTCGTTCAGCTGCGCATTGAGTTGCATACATTAAAGTTAATCAGGTAAGTGCAATTTAAGAATAATCACGTAAATACGACAATAATCATCGGAAATATTACAGTATTTTTGCATTTTTATATAAAACTTCAACTAGTCCGTTTTATTTAAACAATTTCTAACGTAAATTAAGTTTGTAATAATAAGAGACTATATTTTTGTAATTGTAACGGGTATTTAATATCTGAAATAAGTTTTAAATTCGAAAATTTCTTTATTTGACTTTATTTATCATTGTTTACATTGTTAGTAAGTAGTTATCTGTAAAATTCTATATTTGTATAATATATTTTTGTAAAAATAAAGCTCAAGCAATCAATTTTATTTACCAAGGTTGCAAAAATTAGTTTCGTTTAGTAAGTTTTAATTATTTTTACCGGAAGACAACTACAAGGTCGTTAATTGAGTAGTAAAGTGTTCGTGATACGAAACCTCTCCAGTAAATGTAAACAACTTGTTATAAACGCGCAGTAGTGCGTTTTTTTCTTATTTCGGGAGTTGTAGTGCGTAGTTTTTAATAAAAACAGTAAAAAATTACTCCTAGAAGTGCATTGTGGATATTGACAACAGAACAACGTAGTAGCAGGCTTAAGTAAGTACTTAATTTAAGCTAATTCAATGCATATAACCTAACCTTGTAATGTAAACGAGGGAAACGTGATTGTTTAGTCAAAGTGCATCACGGAAGTTCATTTTTATCACATTTTGACCTTATATGATATCTGGAGCCTTATGAACTTAATTTTTAATCATCAAAACACGTTAATTATAAAAAAATCGACACTTATAATTATTTTCAAGCAGTATTACAGAAATCTTTTTCCTTTCACTTAATTTACTTGTTTGCATTATTCGCTAGGCGATGGCGCGACGTAAACCGTAGCTAGTTAATAAGTTGCCTATAATAAAACTTCAAAATTGAATTTTCACCGTTTTCACAAAATTCTCACTCGATTTCGAATATCTAAATTATTATCCTCAATGTATTCTCCATAGATTATGTTTAAAACTGTCGTTAATCGTCTAAGTTCCCGCTCGGTAACCCAATACAACTCGGCAAAATCAAATCTATCCACAAATTCAGCGCCTAAACCAGTGGTTGCAAGTTTTACGCTCGCCGTCAAAGAAGCTGAAAAAGTCGTTGGATATCCAACATCGTTCCTGAACCTCCGCTGGCTACTAAATGATGAAATAGCCAATGTTGCTACACATATTAAAAAGTTGGTGCATGTTGAGCACCCGTTGATTGAAGCAGCGAAAGGTTTCCTCTTCAAAAATGACATTCCTACTTGGGGGCTGATTGTTTTACTAGTTGCAAAGTGTGGAGGCTTGAATAACACGCAAAATGTGATAGATATTGACCGCACCGCAGGTAATACTAAATTTTCATCGCATAAATAGTAAAAAATTAAGAATCTTTGCGATTTTTAAAGGAATTTTGCATAGTCAACGAATTCTCGCGGATGTAGCCGAAATGATCCGAACCAGTATCCTCGTACATCGCGGTCTTCTCAACCCCAACGACGCATTGAGCGAACACCACGATTTATACTTCGGAAATAAACTCGCGCTTTTATGCGGCGATTACATCCTGAGTAAATGCTTCAATGACCTAGCCAATATAAAAAACCACGATGTAAATGACCTAATCTCATCCACGCTACGTGACATGACCGAAAATGAATTTCTGGGCCAAAGAGACGTTCAAAACTTCCCGATTCCAAGCAAACCACTCGCAGAGCAAACAAAACACATCAACCTCATCAACCAGCACGATATGGGACCTTATAAAGTCCAAGAAATCCTAGGTCATTGTAAACCAGAATGGTTTTTGAGAAATATACTGGGTGGTGCAAATCTACTCGGTAAATCATGTCAGGCTGTTTGTATCTTAACCAATCAGGATACAAAATTACAAGAGAGCGCGTTTTTATTGGGTAAATACATGGGACTAGCGTGGCAGATCAAAATTGAAGTGGAAATGTTCACACGGATGGATTTCGGAAGTTATTTTTTGGTAAGCGCACCAGTTATGTGGTGTCTCAGCAGTCATCCCGAATTATATGAAGAAATCGCTAAAGGATTAATGAATATCGATAATTGTGATTTTGATAAAATTCATGAATTCATCAGCCGGACAAATGCCATTGAAGAATGTCGATGTGTACAGGGTGATTTGATAAAAGATTGTTTTACATTCCTAGATGCATTTGATGAGTCTCCAGCGAAACAATCACTGTGGGATTTATTAGAGTCATTAAAATTTTAAGTTGTTATGTAATTTGTGATTTGATAAATAAATACATCATGCAACAGTGGTCAAAACAAGTTGTTTAGATAATAACCAGATATAATTTAGTAGAATTAGCGCAATAGAAATGATTAAAAAGCAAAGGTTGACTTTGTATCGATTTTACAAACTGAAGTTGGCTGCGTTTTCAGCCGTCGCGCACAATTTTGAGGTTAAAACACGCGCGAGAGCTGGAAAACGCGACCCGCCGCGTGAATTTTCTATTATTATCTCGGCGACCGTGAATTCAGCGTCTTATATAACCGTATGTAGTATTAGAATACAGTTTTGTCATTTATTCGTGTCGCGATGCGTCGCGTGGTGCGAAAATGTTTGCTCCAGCAACGATTGTTCTCCGTGGAGCCCCGCACGTCCACCAAAATCCAACAAGAGAGCAAACACCGCACGCAGAGCAACTCCATCAAAGAAGCTGAACGCGTGGTGGGGTATTCCACGTCTTTCTTGAATCTCCGATGGTTACTCAATGATGAAATCGCTAATACAGCGATGTATATGAAGAAACTTACAGGGACTGAACATCCACTACTAAAAGTAGCAAAGTATGTCATAATTTTTAATTTTATTACATTTTACTAATGAAGTATTTCAGAGATGTGTTGTTTAAGTCAACAACGCCATCTTGGGGACTAATTGTCCTGCTGATATCGAAAGCAAGTGGATTAAAGAAAGAGTTTTCAGCGATAGATCAAGACATCACAGCTGGAATCCTCCACAGTCAAAGAGTTTTAGCTGAAGTTACCGAAATGGTCCGTACGAGTTACCTGATACATAATGGAGTTATCACCGTGAATAACAACATGCTAAACGCGGACGTATTGAATTACGGTAATAAAATCGCTCTGCTAAGCGGTGATTACTTGCTGAGTAAAAGTTTCAATGATTTATCAAATCTACGGAATCAAACTGTCAATGAAATAATCTCATCCGCCATTCGTGACTTCTCAGAGAGTTTGTTTCTCTCCTATGGAGATTATGACTTTCCCGTTGCGCACAAACCAAAATTCCTTAAAGATAAAACTGAATATTGTAAAGAATTTACATCGGATAAAGTGGATTATGGTCCGTATAAAGTAGACGAGATTCTAGGTTATCCAAAAGAAGAGTGGGTATTGCGGAATGTATTGGCAAGTGGGAATTTATTAGGCAAATCATGCAGAGCTGCATTGTTGGTTGCCGGGCATGATGAGCAAGCGCAACAAAGCGCTTATTTGTTTGGTAAGCATCTGTCATTAGCCTGGCAGGCGAATATAGACCTACAGGGTTTTAAGGAAGGTAAAGTTGATTTTGTAAGCGCACCGGTCATGTTAACACTGGAGGAAGAACCGGAATTATACGAAGTGTTTCAAAGAGCTGTGTATGATAATAATATCGATAGTATAATTCATTTAGTAGAGAAAGGAAATGGTTTAGAAAAAACTAAATGTTTACAAGATGAATATACACAAAGGGCATTAGATAATCTCGAATATTTTGAGCGTAATACCGCGACGGAATCGTTAAAACACTTGATTGATGTGATATAAAAATAAATATATTTATAAGACACTTTTGCATTAATTATGAATTTCTTGTCTTTCCCATCACAAGTATCGCATGTTTGTTTATTCAAGATCGAGGGTTCGGTGGACAACATATCGTTAAATTCATTTACTTGTGCGTTTCTATTTGTTCCGACGCATTAGCAGCACGCTAATGATACGTTTACAGCGTGTTACTCCATTTTGATGCTTTTATTACTTCCCCACGACATGACTCGTTAGCGTGCCGCAATAGAATACAATAACCGGAAGCAGTTAACGAATTTTTACGGCGTCGAAGACTTGTGTTTGCAGTTTCTGCATTTGTATTACAATGGAGGATAAATCAAATGCTGTGGGGGCAACGAATGCGAATACGTTTGGCACGAAATTGCATGATTTGTGTGCTACGAAGGGTCTGTGGCCAAGCGCGCCCGGAATTAAAGAAAACTAAAAATCAAAATTTATTACACATGAGAGAGAAAAGCAAGAGATCTGCAAGTAAAAGCATCGTACAGAGATTGTTTCCGCGCATGCTGGATTTTATTGCGTTTGTCTGTGTTTGAAGGTTATGTCATGAGGTTATGTCAAATTTTTAAGATATTCAACTGTCATTACAGTTTGACAACAGATTTAGGAACGTACACCTCAAAATTACCGTGATTATTAATACATATTTTAAATTAGTTTAGATATAGAGTATGATAATGCAATTAGCAAGTATTTCCGATCAAGTGCAGTGCTACGACTGGCCGAAATCGAGTCTGAGTAAAACATATCGGCCGCTATCACGCGCATGGCCGAAAATCCGCAGCGCATCATGGGCAAACACCTCCGAATGGATGTGTCTGGTGACATCCGAGAATCATATAGATATCATATCATTCCGCGACGCAAAGAGTAAATTCCTGCATGAAATCGTCGACGTTCCCGATGTACGTTATGCGACATTCAAAAGTCTCAACAAACGCGATCTGGCAATCGCCAGCGGTGATACCATCATGATCTACGACATGAAACGTTGTTTTGTGAGGAAACAACTTGGCCCGACGCATGATCACAGTGATTATTTCAAGATTATGTTTGATGCACGTGATTCTTTCTTATGCGCAGCGTCGAAGAACAATCAAATTAGTGTATATGATGCGAAAGGTCTGCAGACGATTTTCTACGCGTCAAACACTGGAAATTTACGGAATTTCTCCATAAATGATCAATATGGATTAAAAATCGCTGCGTGTACAAACAGCGGTGCTTGTATCTTGTGGGAATTGGAAGGTATCACGAATATTTACAGCGAACCATCGAAATGTCAAATTTGTGACCTTGTCTATCGAGATAATTCAATTCTATACATAACAGAGAGTAAAAAGTGTATTTTAAGAGATTATTACAATACGTCCACAATCAGTATCATCAACTTGGATTATTATCCGAAATGTGTTGATATGTGTATTGATTCAATAGGATTAGCAATACTGGCAGATGATGGTTCTATCTACGCGTATGACGTGCGGAATTTATCGCATCATTTCAATAAGATACCCAAACAAGATGGCGACACTGTCACGCAGATTCTATTCAATAAACATAGCCATAGTGATGTTACATGCGCACCTTCCAACGTTAATAACTATTCCACTGCGGATGAACTTGAAATTGTCTACGAATATAAATCAATGTTGAATTCAGATGTTTCTGCGTCTACGATTCACGGACCTAATACCACACAGTATAATGTGATGAATATCAAAGTGGAGAATTTGCCTACGGTGAGTGAAATTGAAGAAAACCAGATTATCGGCCCGATTTGTTGTAATGGTGATGATACACTGGCAGAATGCACATCGGTGCATGTAGCACAAAATGGTGCTGTTACAGAGGTCATTCGGGAGACTGTCAAGGACGAAATGGCGTCTGCTATTACCGATTTAAAGCGACAAGTGCAAAAAGTTGTGCATGATGAAACCAAGTCAAATTTTTACGAATTACGAATGGCGTTAGTGAAAGAATTTATTAAACTGCAAGAAATCTTGGATCGTCTGCAACCGCATCGGAATCTAGTCAAAAACGACGGTGATAAGTGTGATAATATCAAAATGGAGAATAATTGTTGATTTGTGAAATTTTTTTGTTTGTATCCGAAACATGTAACCAGTAAAATGTTAATCTCAACGTTTGTATGCGCAAGTGTCACACGTACTCCTAGATGGTTTAATTAAACTGCACTTTGCTGCAAGTTTTGTGTAGTTAATCGCGTGATTAACTTGAAATTGCCCGTTTAAAAAAGCACAAGTTGCAAAGTTTTTGTTTTTTTGCGCGTTTTTATTTCGCGAATTCGGTGTCATAAACGCAGCCAAGCGAGGAATAATGTATATTCATGCCAGTTGACTGCTGTTTTGCGACATATGGATGGATAAAAACAGGAAGTGATGCGTCACATAAGAATTGGGGAGCGGACGCTGTGGAAAAAAGGCGTCGCGCATCTCGACCGCAACGACCGCGCGCACCGCAAGTGGCTTTTCCGGCGAGAAGAATTTTCAGCCGCAGACCGCAGCGTGCCGAAAACGGTTGATTAACTTTGTCGTTTAACTTTTACGCGTACTGCACAGCGAGATAATTCAATTGTGGTGAGTATTTTTTTGAAAAACAACTAAAATTAAGGGATAATCGGTAAAAATCAACGAATTGTTTGTTTGTGACGCTTTCACGCAAAAACCACTCAAGCAATTTTAATAAATTTTTGTATAGAAATATTTTAGACTAAAGAAAATAATATAGACTATTTTTTATCGCAAAAAATAACTTGTAAAGGTGTAAAATAAGGACTCAAAGTTAATTTGGACTTTTAATCATAATTATAGTTATTTAATTTGAATATAGATGGCGTTAAAATACATTTTAAGGCTATTTTCTTTAAAATCTCCGCAAAACAGGCAATTTTCTACCCAAAAATTCGAAAGAAGTTAATCACGCAATGTCGAAAGGATTATATCCACCTACATTCACGACTAGTAGTTTGTTAAGTGGCGTGCATTGCTTCGAACGTAAATCGTCCTTCATTACACTCGCAATCAGTCCGGTAATCCACATAAAACGTACACCGAAAGCGACTCTCTCAACCAGCGCCGTTGTTTGGAGACGGCTTCGGCTGTCCGGCATCCGTAGGTGGTTCATCCACCGTGCGATTTACGAAAGTGGGAATAATCCCGAATGCAAAAGCTACTCCCCGCCCCGCCCGCCGCTCGTTTTGCACCTACAATGCTCGGACGCTGCATGTTTTCCGCTCGGCCCCGCCATTCTCATTTAAATATTCGGACTTTACTCGGATCTGTTCACCGGCAACCAAACACACACATACATACATACACTCATATGTGAGGAGGGTTGTGCGCAAACGGAACGTCGTGCATGTTATTGCACTGCACTTCTTTTGAGCATGTTTTATTTTTGTATAATTTTTCATGGACCACTGAATATTGCATGGAAATAGACTCGAAATCTACGTACGTACAAAAATATAATATTTAATCGATTAAAACTCGCTGCCATTAACTAAATTGATACGGATTTAATCTCGCTAATGGTTGGACACATAACATGTAACATAACCTCGAAAATACTAAAGAAAAAAACCGTTAAGCTTTTTGGATTGAATTCAAATCATCAATTTGAGATTTCCTGCGTGTGTAGTTGTATCTCATATTCATCTGGTAATTTGTTATTCTAAAGTTTCTCAAACAGGCACTTGAAACTTTTGAAATATGAAACAACAAATTGGTTGCTTTACAAGTTGCGAACTTTTTTTTTTACGAGCGCGATATTTATAAAATCAAGCAAAACACATAAATCTCACCGGTAAACTACTCAATTTGATAAATAAAAAATATTTTTGTTTTACACAAAGTAAAATAAAATAAAACATCGAAACTATCAATAACTCCATGTTGAATTGAATGTAAATATAAGAAAAGGGGAAGACTCTCTTCTCCCTTACTTCTCTCGATGTAAATTAAATTGTCCGAGGATTTATCGTTTCATCTGGTTTAGTAAACTCGTCGATTTTTATCACTATCGACACACCCCTCGCTTAGACCATTTTCGGCGACCAAACGATTTGATTTACTCGTAGTATTTTTACTCTTGTCGAGAAACCCAAGACCAAAGACAATACAGTGAGGATTGTGTGGATTGAGTTAAAGTCGATTGATTATTATGCGACTGGGTCAATTGGCGAGCGCAGATCACTTCGAGAAGCGCGAAATTAATTTCGTCGCATTGTCACAGCGCGCTTGCAAATTCGAGTGGGGTAATGGGGGACTAGTTTCAAAACATCCGTGGCAACGCCGAATGTTTATCGGGGGGAATTAATTACGCTGCAAAAATGACTTACACATCGGGGGGCGAATGTTTGATGAAGCAATATTGAAAATTCCCACTGTGCCCCGGCAATCGCACAAGGAATTAGAAACGCAAATTGACTAATAGACTAATGTTGACCGAACGCATCACTTTATTATACTAACTGATTCAGTAATCATCAAAAATTTACTAATTTAATGTCAAAACCTATCAAGTATTAATATAGGGTAAGTATATATTTAGTGTATATTTGGTTGCCTATACTATAATGTCAAATAAGTATCAAAAAGCACAAATTTAATTTCATAACCTTTTTGTGTCAATATTGTGAAGGTATGCATTTGGTGTATATTTGGTTGCCTATATTATAATGACATAAATGTAGTTTAAAACTATCAGTAGGTGATTTTGTGCATCCCGAGTGTGAACAAGCTGAGGACAAGAGTCCCGCAGCGCATAAACGAAAAGTGCTCGAAAGTCGCGCGTCCACGCACGGGGCGAATATCCTTGTGTGTACATTAATTACCATAACAAACCCTCGAATAACAAACCCGCGCGCTGCCTGCTGACCGCATTCACGAGTTCGCTCTCGGTAATACTCTGCGCGCCGAGTTTCACCGATGGGAAATTGAAAGGAACTTAGCCCTGGACCCACTCGGTGTGTGTTACCGTGGGGGGGCTCAATGCGACGCTTCAGACACTTTATCCCCAAAAGTCCTTTAATATTTCAAAACCTCCATATACTGATTTTACTAACTAACTAACTATACATATTTTAATCAAACTTTTTAAATTACTTTAAAAGTAAAAAACGATTTTTACATGCAAATTTTTACCTTTTTTGACGTTGGAATTAAATCGTTTGCATGAAATAAATTATTACCATTTCCCGAAAGTCATAATTCTCATAGTGTGCCTTTTGAACAACGTAATAAACCACTCTAATTTTCTCACCCCTAAGCGGCGTGTTTATAAATGTGAAACACGCGAACAGGTAAAAACCTCGGCCATCAGCAGCAATGCATCAAGAAAAAAGAAAAATGCGTGCGTCTTGGATTATATTATTATTTTGGCTTGCGAACCCCACGCATGAATAAAACCAAGGGTGGAGGGAGAAAGGGGTGAGGAGAACATGTGTGTGTGTGTGTGGGAGAAACGAATGGACTTCGGCGGACCTATGTTTTGATGGGCACGATGAGTGCGCGCCCGCTCCGGGGGATTCAAAGTGGCAAAACTCTTTAGTTCCGCGTTGACAACGAGCCGGGCAAGTTCTGCGCGCTGTTCAGTTGGCTCTCGAGTGCGCTTGCGGACAATACAAGTGACGTTAAAGTTTATTAACGACCACGGAAATGGATATTTTATTCGCTACATGGTTTATGTTTTTAATTATGATAAAAGGTACGTGTTGTAAATTTCAGTTTTTAATGTTTTTGTATTGTTTTCGTGGAAAATTAAAAATTTATGTTTTTTTGGTTGTAAAATTGTTTAAAAAATGAAAAAAAGTGAAAAATTTGTTAAATTTGTGGAAAATTATTGATAATATCGTAATTAATTTAATTAATTTTAATATTTTGATGATTTATAACATAAAATTTAAGAAATTTTTGATTTTTGAACAAAATTCTCCTAAAATTTAATTTTTTACCGAAGTAAATTGGTTTTTGGAAAAAAACTGGTAGGGAACAATAGAAAAACATCTTTTTTTGATATTTTAACCAATTTATATCATTTTTTTCATAAAAAAAAATACTAAAATTTTAAATTTTAAGTTTTTTTGCGATTTTTTACGTAAAAATCTCAAAAATTTACCTAATTTTCCAATTTTTTTAGAAATTGAAAGTCTGAAATCACTCGTCATCAAAGTGCCCGAATATGTAAAGGTAAACGATTCGGTAACGCTGGCATGCGAGTACGACTTGGAGGACGTGGCGCTTTACACCATCAAGTGGTATTGGAACGGAATCGAATTCTATAGATTCGTGCCGAAGGAGTCGCCACCATCGAAGGCATTCACGATCGCGAACTTTAACGTCGACGTAAGTACCCACCACCACCATGCAAAATCATCTCTCGCGCACTCAAATATAATATATGAATAATTTGCAGCTCGCCGAGAGCGGCGCGAACGAAGTCACTTTGCGCCAGGTTCAAAAAGACTTATCTGGTTTATTCAAATGCGAAGTGTCCGCCGACGCGCCGCTTTTTCACACCGAGCTTAAAGGCGCCGTTATGAATGTTATCGGTGCGTAGCGTAAACGCGTATCAAATTCAAGAACGATGCTATTTAATTTTTGCATTTTTTTTGCTTGCAGATGTGCCAAGCGGGGCGCCTCAAATGGAAGTCAATGCGAAACGGATCGAGATTGGGAAGAAAATCACTGCTAGTTGTAGTGTCGACAATACTAAACCAATGACGAATATCACGTGGCAAATTAATTCTGAATTGGTAATTAATTTTTTGTAATTTTTAATTTTTTTGATTTTTTTTGCGTAGAAATAAAGTAAAAATTAGAAAAACCGTTAAATTGTGGTGGGGGTAAGCTGTAGCAACACTTCCCCCTCCAGTTTTTACGGATCAAGCGTAGTTTCAAAGTCTAGCGCTGTTTTGAATCGCCAAAAAGTAAAAAAATCGGTGTTTTGCGTTAAAAACCTCTAAAAATTGATAAAATTTATTTGATTTTGCTATTTTTTAGATGGATTCTTCAGAACCCTATGTACGAATACGTCCTACACGGTTAGTTGGGAATATGATTGAATCCCGAATTGAATTGGTCGCGTTAAAGCCCTATTTTACTGCGGGTCCCATGGTGCTCAGATGTGACGCAACCCTGTTTAATATCTGGAGCAGTTTTACGGAGAGTTATATCCACGAAGAAGTCGCGTTTTTAGGACCTGTCTTATTGTCTACCTCATCGCAAACCCACGAACAGGACACGTTTGGTAAATAATAATTACTTTTCATCTTTTTAATGTGCAATAAATATAACTTCTGTTTTCTGTTAAGATTTCTTTGGATCTAACTCGACTTTACGACGCAACCCAACATACTTCGTCTACGTGATGACTATTATATGCTGTTTGTCTTATATTTTTATAAGATAATCGACTGTGTGGTAGTTAGCGTGTAGTTATTGGAGTAGTTAGTGCCTCGAATACTAAATACCGAATGCTAATTGTAAATGACGGCAATAATGATTGAAAGACCCTCCAAATTCAGGCGATATTTATCGTTGATAGAGATACTACTACGTGTATTGGACAACTGTAATTAAGCGCTATTTATAAATATTTATTATTATTAAGTTTTTGTTTTCGGACGGTTTGTGAATATGATATGATATGAAGTTTGAAAATAATTGATGAAAGACTTAATGACATAAACTATATAAGTACTAATAATAATAATTATTATTATTATAATATGAATATATACGTATGTATATGCGAGTAACAATAAAATACGATATAAAAGTTGTGCTGCCATAAAGTGAAGTAAAGATAAAGTAAAAATTGTGTTTGTGTTTTTTAATTTATGATTTCGGTAGTGTTGTGTTTCCTAAAACAAACTATAAACATTTGTTTTAATTATGTTCAGATCAAAAAAAAAGATATATTGAGGAGCATTTGTTTATTTAGTTTGGTACAGATTATTACCTGAAATGAAAATGATGAGTACATATTTAAATAATAAATTTGGAATTGGTTTAGTAGAGTCTCATTCACACAGACAAATAAATCAAGACAACCATAGTTGTTTTATGTTTATATATTTAGTTAATTGGTGAGGAAAATTAGGAAATGTGATTTTTAAGGACCTAATACGAGCCTGCCTACACAAGGATTCAAAATCGCGGTGATAATAATCGCGGTGACTTCTGAAAGCGGAAAAGTTGATTAACATGGCATAATTCTTTCAAATGATTTAAATATTTGCATTTTAATATTGAATTTATTAATTTTGATACCTATATAAATATATGTTATTAGATATTTTTCAATTGAGTTTGATGTTCTTTGCTATTATTTTTTAATACTTAAATCATTCAAAAGTTAATTTAATTAGAACAAGTAAAAATATATAATATCAACTTATACTATCACAATTATCATTCACACACTAAAGGGTTTGTGGATAGGATTCTTAATTCTATCGCGAGATTTTAATTAACCTGCCTTTTTCCCTGCCTAACAACATACTTAACTAAAATCACAGACCGTTGTAAAAATGTTTGTTATCGTTCTTAGTAATATAATGCTCGCGACCGCGTTTGACGATCTGTGATACGAGGTGGCGAAACGGTTTTCGCCGCGGTATAACCAACTTGAGTTTAATAAGCCTTGTGACCCGTGCACCGCCAGTGGGCAACGGGCTTTTGGTGCCATGTGCAAGCACATCGTCCAAAATTTAACACACATACACAAATATAATAAATACAACAAATCAATGAATTCATTCATACAACAATTAAAAATAGGGTTTCATTCATCAGTCTACACATTCACACATTGCAAACGAACGCGAAGTTTAACGGTCGCGAATTATGATGAATCAAATAAATGATGTTCTGCCGTGCTTGGCAGTGATGCGCGCCTGAAATTAACTGAGATTTAACAGAGTATCCCGACTCTCAAAAAATTTAAACGTTGGTGGACATTACGTTATCCACGTTTTTTGGGTACTCTCCTTTGGTGTGTCTCGCGCCTGAAAATCCCGAGGTGCAAATCGCGAACACCACGAATGAATTGAACAGAATTAGTAGAGTATCCCGACTTTTAAAAAATTTAAACGTGGATCGAAATTATGTTTTCCTTCATTTTTGATCGCGCCTGGAAAACTCGAACTGCAAATCGCGAAAACAAAACGTATTTTCCGGGATAGACGGCGAGTTCAGTTATGATGATTGTATGCACGTGCATTTGTTTGCGCATAAAGATACAAGACAGCCAGTTTGGTGTCAGGTGTACTCACCCCGCAAAGACATCCGGCGATTCTAGCAATGATGGGTGGACTATCCCTGTACCAAGGACATAGCCCCGAGTGTGTCTCCCCTTCGGCTGTCACATACGCAGCAAAATGCTTTGCGCATCCGCCAGTCAGGGGCACTCGTGACTACCCTCCGGTCCAAGTCATCACCACGACTTACCTTCATCCGGCTCCTAGAAACTGGGATCCTACGTCAGAGTTTCTCAGGAGGATGCGTCGATATTTTCCAAACTTGGGTCCAAAACGCTGGTAGGTTGCTAGAAGTGGTCTGGTTCCCCTCTCGTCCCTCATGGGTATGGAATGCCCCTCGGAATGGATTTCGATAGTTTCGGATTTGTACTCGCGACACGCACTCGGTTTTCAATATCGGTATACAGAAAGACTTTCAATTAAGTTGTTAACACAATAAATGTACTGAATTAAACCGCGTCGCGACCCGCACTCGATGAGTATTTCGTTACACCTCTCCAGGTCAATCGCGAGTTACGTTTATCACTGGTAGCTGTAAATGTAAATAATGATTAAATAGGTAGTTAAAAAGGATTTGCTAATTTGTTTATCTAAATTTTTAAAAGAATGCAGTAACAGAAAACAAAGAAGTTAAATTTGAAACTTAAAAAAAACAAATTAATGAAGTAAAACTATAAGTTGTTATGTAAAATTTGAATTGCTATTTGCTAATACTGTTATAAAATATAGAAATTTAATTACATTGCAATTAAGAGTTAAACTAAAAGTAAAAATATTTAATATTTTTTAATAAAGAAAGAAAAATTTAAAAAAGTTAATGTAAGAAATAAACAAATTTAGAATGTTAAGAATTTTTTTAAATATCTGAGGTTCAAAAATAATAAAGGTAATTGGTTAAGAAGGTGTGTGGCATATTAGTACAAACAAGAAATACATAAACCGAAAACGAATGCGCCCGAGTTACAAATAAATGCCCAAATAAATTGAAAATATACCTGTAAGATAAGCAGAAAGAACAATTAATATTTTGTGAAAATTATTAACTGTGAAAATTATTAACTGTGAAAAATGTAGCAGTTATTTTTTTGTACAGTACCTATGATTCGATTAACGCGCACTTCACTTCTCACTTCACTTCGTATTTTACGAGTAACGATTTATGCCAAAAGATGACAAAAATTTCGCGACGCGGAAGCCGTTACAAGTCGAAATTAAAAAAATACACGCTTTAAAAGTAAATTAACTTTTAAAACAATTTTCAAACCTGTTTCCATTCTTGGTATTATCTGGAAAATACTTAGTCTTTCCTGTCCTGGTCCCTTGAAAATACGCTAGTAAAGTATCTACCTTAGCGCCGCCTCGTGGCTTATTTTTTAAATGGTGGGTAAGCTACACCTGTCAAGCTAATGTTTACACTTTATTATTGAATATATTATCAATAATTAAACATTTAAAAAAAATGTCGACAAAAAAATATTTTTGTTTGTATGCCAATATCATGTTTCTCAGAAACAACTATTTCATCAACTGCAGCATCTGCTGGAGCTGTATTAATTATTGCAGATGAAATTCTTTCCCGTCGTTTTCGCAATCTCTCAGCTCGTAAACCTGCATTAGAATTTCTTTTTTTTTACGTATATTAGAGGAAATATAGTTGGGTGATAAGATTCATTGAGTGGATTGTTAGATTTTTCACCCCCAACAAAATGTGCACTGCAAATTCTGGAATTTTTTCCAGGCTGCCACGGTTTTCCATCACTCCTGCAATCAGAGCTTTACTTATAAAATTGTGACAATAATTGAAATTATTTGTTTGCTATTAAAATTGAATAATCATGTTTAGTGAAAAAGAACTAAATACCCTATTTTTTATAGCCATTTTAGTAATTTATTCACTTTTCATACCGCTGAAGGAATGAGACTGAAGCCGGTCTTCTCTTTCACTCACACAATAAGACTTCTGTCACACCCTACACAGTTTTCGGCCATCATTATGGTATACGTATCAAGTGTAGTAAGTAACGTTTACAGTGGTTAACAACACTTTTGCGATTCATTTTTATATTATAGATTACTATTTTATTCATAATAATAAAATTATTCATTTTAAGTGTATTTGGCACAATTAGTTCAGTTAATTAAATTTTTCATACTGACACACTTATAATAAGTAAGTTACTCTTTGTCTACACTAAAATTTATCTAGAAACTAGAAATAATTTATTTGGCAAAACAACGTTTGCCCGGTTAACTAGTATATATATAACATATGGTACTCAAGGTTTCAGATCTCACTATTTAAGAAATAAGCCACGAGGCGGCGCTAAGGTAGATACTTTACTAGCGTATACGTCTTCACGTTGTAGTGGGTAATAAACGCTTCCCGGTAGTTGATAAAACAGCCAAACACCCGATAGTGAATTAAAATCGCGAATAACATGAAAATATAAAAAAAGAAAATATTAGTTCGCTAAACACTTTGTATAAATATATGTAATTTCTAGATTTTATTTTAAAGTGAATCTGACTAGTTTTTGAATATTGAAAAATAAAAATCAAAACAAAAACATCGCGCGATGTTATTTTATTTGTACACTATTGGCACTATTCTGCCACAAAGTGAACGCTTGAAGAATGTGCAAAGTAAACAAACAACTGATAAGAAGGACGCGAACGCCGTGCACGCCGCGCACGCTTCGCGTAGATCCGTAGATGAAACGCACAATAGATGTGTGTGGGTGTGTGTCTTTTGTGCATGCAAAACTAAATTTTTCACTTTTACCGAAAATGTACTCAATTCACACAAGATATAATCAGACGTAATATGTAATGAAAGACACTTACACGTAATTGCGTTGTGATTTTCACTTGGTAACAACATTTTTCTGCCGAATTCTCAAATTTTTAACTATTTTTCACGAGAGCTGCAACTAAACTGCTTGTAACCGTTAGAGTGACGCGCTTGAGTGCGTGATGCGCAAGTGCAGCGCTCTTCGTCTCTCCCCGCAACCCAAACGAGGACGATCGAGTGGTGTGTATCAACGCCGGTTGATAAGCATGAAAAAGAACTAGATATTAGGATTGCACAATTTACGCATCCCACACGATATTATGCGAATTATCAAAACATGCTCTAAGTTATCCAAAATCTAATTGGATATTCTTGCAAAATACAATTTACTCTACATGATGAAGTAACTCGATATACTCTAGCGTAAAACGTATTGGCTACAGACGATAATAAACGAAATCTAACTCGACCACGCGTAAAAAAACGAAAATCACGCAAATTAAAAAAAGGAAAGATACTTATGAATAATGAAGGGAACTTACTTGTAATAGTATTGTGGAATGAATTGCACTTGGTAGCACTACATTTAGAATATTTGGTACAATTTCGGCAGTTTTTTAAATTAGCTGCATGCTGCACTGACCGTTGCGTACCGAATGACGCTCTTTAGCACGCTTTGCGCAAGTGTGCTATCGTGCGATGTTGCTCTTCGTCTCACCCCGCAACCCGACTTACGCCTATGTGACGAACGGGTAGTGTGAGGCAGCGCTGATAAAAACCTGAATTCGACAAGATGTAAACAAGACAAATGCACAAGTATTGAATAGAATATAATAGAACGTATTCTTTCTCACATTCCAATGTTTTGAATTCACGATAAAAAATCTCTCATGTCTACTCTAATTCGGCGCAAATATAACACAGTCTTTTGAATTAAAATTAAAATTAAATAATTTGAATTATTTTGAATTGTTAAACAATTAATTTAACGTAAAATTAATTATATAAATTAATTAACAGCTTGACCAAGTAGTCAAATATTCAATTTTATTTTTACAACATGTGATATACTACAACACATTTGGCCACAAATATTGCACATATAATATTGTAATGTAATATTCCGTGTTCAGAAAAACTTTATATGAGTTGCAGGCTCAGCTGTTAGATGCAACAAGCACAACTAAAAAGATTTAAGAAGTGAACAGCTGTATTTCCTGAAATAAAAGTGGAATCACAGAAAAATTGTAAATTTAATATCAATTTTAATAAAATCAATATTTCGCGTGCACACACATTTGCGGAGTATTCTTACACCGCTCGACTATCAAATCAATTTCAATGTCGCATGTATCGCATAAAGTCTTATGAACAAGGCTGTTGCCTTACTCAATATACACGCATTACCTGCGCACTACCACCAACAAACAACCTCACCGATGTAAATAAACTTGTGCTGAGACATCACCTGATTTAATTTATTGCAAATACTGCATCCTAGCGTCATCTAGGATCTCTTTAGAATGTTGACATCACATAAACTCGAATGTTGATATCAATGAGATGTTTGTTTGTAGCAGGTATAGAATAGAAGTTTGATATCTGTAGAATATTACTTGCATTGCAACAAAATAAAATAAATTACACGAAATTTAATTCTTATTTCGTATTTGCATCCTAATTCACCATTTATTATTATTATTTTAGCTGTAGTTTCATGAGAAATGCGAAATAAGTTTAATTGAATATCAATTAAACCAATACATAATTAATTTTGCGAAATACCAATTAAATTTAAAACCACCTATTTACAATATTTACAAGTCAATTTATTAAACAAAAAATCAAAAGCACCATTATCAAAAGATTCATAACACTATTATTACAGACAACGAGTATTTGTTCTTCTTTAAAATTAGTATAATAAAACAGTGTTAAGTAAGCTATGTGCACAATGTGTGTAGTTTGAAGACAGAAACAAATAATTTAAAACACCAATTGCGGTGATTTCGAGTTTTTGATTACTCAACGGTAATTTTGGCAGTCGGCTGACGAACCCAGAAGACACCACCATTCTCAGCAACAGTTACACTAAAAACAAAACAAAATATAAATAAAACCAACAAAACCACAATCAAAAAACTTAAAAAATTAATTATTATCAACTTACTAGACAGTATAAGTCTTCTTGACGCCTTTCGGTGGCTTCCAGGTAACGGACACGGATTTTTTGTCATTAGCATTGTTATGCGTCGCCATATTCTGCAATCACAAACGTTCACAGTATGTTAATTTATACAAATCGAAACACATTAAATTTCTAATTCCAGAAACATATTATACTTAGTAAATGTGTCGAAAAAAACCATTAATCATAAAACTTGTTTTATATAGTGTTAAATCACCAGTCAGCCATTTTAAAAACCGAAATATTTATATTGTGGGGGGTGTTATACACATAAATAACAAAAAATAAAAGCAGTGCGAAGTTTCAATGTGTCCAGAATAGTGTTGGTAATGTTTTACGCACATGTTTCGGCTCGCCTCTGAAAAAGACATCGTTGAAATCGACCGGAAACGGAAGCTGATTGAGCAAATGGCTCAGCATGCCCAACCAACGTCTTAACATTAGATCAACGTGTTTGTGTAAAGTGTTATGAGATTGTAAGTGGTGGTCCTGGAAGGTTTCCCAATTGCAAACAAAATTTACAGAAAGAAAGAAAATAAAAGAAAATATTTAAAAAAACAACGAAAAACCAAAACCAATTAAAAATAGAAAAACCATTAATAAAATTAATAAATTACCTTTTCTTTGGTGAAACAATTAATAGTTTTACTATGTCCATCATTGGCAGCAATATCAAAAGTACCAATCGCAGTCTCTCCATCCCTAACCTGTAGTAAATATCCTTTGAAAGGACGTTCACCACTGACGGTAATCTTAGCCTCTCCACCATCACTAATCTTCTCTTTATCAACTGATACTTTATAGCCTGTTTTGGCAAATGGTGAAGACTGTGCGTCTACCGGATGCTTCGGCACCATGTCAACGCAACAGGTCTCCGAACCTCCATTGGAATTGGCATGTACAGCCACACACAGCGTCAACACGAGAGCAGTGAGTTTCATTTTTGGATGTGTACGTCTGTACGGATCAACGTTTGATGCAGTACTGAAGTCTTCCAGCGATATTGGCTTCAATGGTAGACTTTCGAATCGTTATTTTGCACCGGCGACGAATTAAAACTAACTAAACACTAAACTTGGCGTTGCTGGTGGTGGCATGGCGGAGAAAGAGACGTTGATCGCGCAATAGATGGATTTTATAAAAATTACGCGATTGTAAATGTCACTTGTGTTGAAAGGACGACAGTTGAGTTGTTATTAGATTAAGAAATCATAGAAAATAATAAGAATCAAATTAAAACTTAATTTTTGTCATTTTTGTTTTTTCAAGGACAAATAAAGGTTATTTCTGTGTTTTTTAACCAAAATAACCTAAAAATAAAAGGATAATGACTTCTGCTAACTGTATTAATCAATTCATAATTATTCCTGCAGACATTTCGCAAATATTATTTTTCTCTCCTAATTCTAAAGTCCTAGTTCTAAAGTAAAAATTAATTTTTCGCATTTTTGGTTATTCAAGGGCAAATAAAGGTTATTTCTGTGTTTTTTAACCAAAATAACATAAAGATAAAAGGATAATGACTTCTGCTAACTGTGTTAATCAATTCATAAGTATTCCTGCGGACATTTCGCAAATATTATTTTTCTCTCCTAATTCTAAAGTCCTAGTTCTAAAGTAAAAATTAATTTTTGTCATTTTTGGTGATTCAAGGACAAATAAAGGTTATTTCTGTATGTTTTTAACCAAAATAACCTAAAAATAAAAGGATAATGACTTCTGCTAACTGTGTTAATCAATTCATAATTATTCCTGCAGACATTTCGAAAATATTTTTTTTCTCTCCTAATTCCATAGTCCTAGTTCTAAAGTAAAAATTAATTTTTGTCATTTTTGGTTATTCAAGGACAAATAAAGGTTATTTCTGTGTTTTTCAACCAAAATAACCTAAAAATAAAAGGATAATGACTTCTGTTAACTGTGTTAATCAATTCATAATTATTCCTGCAGACATTTCGCAAATATTATGTTTTTTCTCTCCTAATTTAAATAATCCAATATGTATTTAATAAATCAAACACATTTATATAATCCTAAAGTAGAAAAACTTGAATGTGTTCGTCTTCAACGATTTATCGATGATTGCACAATCAAAACTTGTTCTATGCCAAATATGTCAATAAAAAATAGGACACTTCTATGTGTTTTTAAACTTGTATAAAGAAAAAGTGCACACAGAGGTGTATTACACAACTGTAATTAAACATTTGTGACTTAACCTTGTTTGAAGGCTTTTATTAAGGATGACATGTGTTATAGCCATGGCCGCTTGTTGGATTTTAATTGGACTGATGTTAAATCCAGTACTGTGTGTGTTCAGGTGCAAATCATTTGCATTATCAGATAGAAAAGTGTAAAAAGCGAGACATGTTCACCGATCATTTAGCACAGTGTGCTGTGCAGTCAAGACAACTCGTCAAGGTTGTGCAATGACAAGGCAATCAATCTGCATATATAATAATGGGTGCAGTTTGCTAGATTGTGCGTATTTTAATGAATAATAAATGGATTAGTGGAGAATAAAAGTTTCTAGTGCGTTTATGTTTAGATGATTAGAATTGAATTTGTTATTAAGTGTTTGATGTAGTTTATTTATTTGTAAAATAAAGATTGGATTTATTGATTATTTTATTATTTATTGATTGGGTATTAAATAGTACACTCTGTATTTATTAATAACCTAGAGGTAGAGATTAATGTTTAATTCGTACGCAGAATGCAAAACCAGGCTGCGATTTAATTGCTGGTGTTAGCTAAGTGGAATAAAAATATAAAAAAATAAAAATATAAAATTAAAACTGAGAAGTATTATAATTATTGCTTGAGATTACAAGGCATTGTTTTATTTCAATTAAATATTAATAACTTGTGGTTTTGAAAAGTTGTATGGTTATTCTTTGGAATATTTCAATATTATTTTGTTGTAGGCTTTATTTTTAGTTTAAAACCGCATCCTAGCGGCATCTTTGGATGATTTAACTTGTAGTCGGGGAGAGATCACAAAAATTAGTTTGTTTATATTGGAGAGGTGTTTGTTTTCTACCTGTGAGATAAGTAAATGTTGATGTTGAGAAGATTTGTGTGAATTTTAAATAAATGTACGATTTAAGTGCAATATTATTTGAATTACGCGTCAAATTAAACAAAATTTGCTAGTTTGTTAGTTTGCCATTGTTAAAGTTTGTAATTGTTTTTTTTTTTAATATTTGTTTTAATAGAAACACAATTAAACTTTAATTTGAAATAAATTTGATTAAAATTAGCAATTATGAGTCTTAAAATATTTGCGGAATATTGTTGAAGGAATATTCTTACGCCGTTCGACTATCAAATCAATTTCAATGCCGCATGTATCGCTTGTAGTTTTATTAACACGGCTGTTGACTTTAACTCAATGTACACGCACTACCTGCGCACTACCACTAACAAACAACCTCACCGATGTAAATAAACTTGTGCTGAGACATCACCTGATTTAATTTATTGCAAATAGTGCATCCTAGCGTCATCTAGGATTCATTTAAAACGTTGACATCACAAAAACTAGTTTGTTGATATTGGTGAGGTGTTTGTTTTCTACCAGTGAGATAAATAAATGTTGATGTTGGGAAGATTAGTGTAAATTTTTAATAAATGTTCGATTTAAATGCAATATTATTCAGATTATGAGTGAAATTAATCTAAATAGGTTGATTTTCTGTTATTTTCGAATACATTTGTTGATTATTCATTTTGTCGTTACTTTTTTAATTGTTGTTTTACTAGAAACTCAATTTAAGTTTAATTTGAAATAAATTTGATTAAAATTAACAATTGTCAGGGTTAAAATATTTGCGGAATATAGTTAAAGCAATATTCTTATTCTCTTCGACTATCAAATCAATTTCAATGTCGCATGTATCGCTTGAGACTTGTTCACACGGCTGTTGCCTTTTAATTCCATGTACACGCACTACCTGCACACTACCACCAACAAACAACCTCAGCGATGTAAATAAACTTGTGCGGAGACATCACCTGATTTAATTTATTGTAAATAGTGCATCCTAGCGTCATCTACTATTCATTTAGAATGTTCACATCACAAAAACTTGTTTGTTGATATCAGTAAGATGTGAGATGTTTGTTTGAAGCAGGTAGAATTGCATATTGATGTTCCTAGAATATATGCTTCGTTTTGAGTACGATATTATTTGTATTGTGAACAAAATTTAATAAATTACACGAAATTTGATTCATATTGCAAATTTCAGTCATAATTCATCATTTGTTATCATTTTTTTAACACTAGTTTCATTAGAAACGCAAAATATGTTTAATTTTGTACCAATTGCAGTAAAATTACTACTGTCAAAGCCTAAATATTCGAGGAAACATATTGCCGCAATATTTTTATTTCTCTCAACCAGGAAATTCATATCAATATTGAAAGAATCATGTGTACTCACATGGACACGACTCTCACCACTCACTACCACCAATAAAGAATTAAATGCAAATACGTGCATCCTAGCGCCATCTTAGAATGATTTCTAAAAGTCTTCAGTTTCAAGGACACTGCTGGAGTGTGCAATGCAACTTAAGTCAAGCAAAACTTACCAGTAATGCAATTCACACAAGAGACAAAATTGAATCAATCCATTTACAACTAAAAATGTATTCTGAAGAGTTGTAGGATTATTCAGACACTGCAAAAATGAACACAAAATATTTAAAAATCCACCTAGATATTATCTTAGTAGTTATATTTTCCTTATTCAGATAATTAATAATGTTAATAAGTTTCGTTTTACATTGAAAGTTGCTTAGTTGTTTGGTAATATATACAAGTTTTTTGTTTGAAATATACAATCGAAAAGAATGATAAGACTTAATTAAATTAATAATCGAGACGAATTTAGCGCCTAACCACCGGGGCCTTGATTAACACCACGAAAAGAACGGGCTATTCTCCTGGAAGCGTTGTGTAAAACTAAAAAACCTAGGGGTATGGTGACCCTGCGACCTGAAATAAGAGCTAAGTCATAATAAAATCAAAATCCACCCACCAACTGACACACATACCTCTCAATGACAACGCCGGGCATCTGCACCAGCTGCACCGGCGACTTGCCATCCTTGAGCGCCTGAGTCAGGTTCAAAATTTGGCCTCGCATCACAGACATTTGTCGTTCAAAGAGACTCTTATCGAATCCCTTGTCCTGCTTGAACAGCACGTGTAAATCATCACATAAGTCTTGTACAAAATTCATGTCCGCCAGCAGCGGCAGCACGAGGTCGCGGATCTCGCGGCTGAAGGGCACCTTCGCCTGCGGCAACCACGCCCAATGATATGGATACGCCCGCCAGCTATCCGGATGTTTATAGGGGAACGCCAGCCCGTTATCAATCGCAGCGATTTTGATCTCTGGCAACTGCACCATATTCCAATCGGTTGTATCTGTAATTTCCACCTGGGTGCTGCCATTGCCGTTGCTGGTGACGATCGTAGGCTGGTCATATTTAATGAGCCAATTGTCATTTCCACGATCAGTGTTGCGGATGATATAATCCAAGACAACCAGACGCTCGAATTGAAGTTGAAACTTTTGCGACATGCGCGTCGGCAGTGGTTCAACTTCAAATCGCCTCAACCAATAATCGGCGTCTTTAAAACCCTCGACATACAGTTGAAATGATCCGATTTTCGGCGGTAAACCAATGCGGTTGAAACGCACACCCACATTGGGGAATTGTTCCATAATCGAGCGTTTTATGCGCGCTTTTTGCCGGTCTATTCGTGGATAGTGAAACGTTTCCGAAACCAACTTAACAATCTACGATAAAAATTTAAAAGTTTAAGTTAACCTCAATATTTATATGATAAAACTATAATTACTCTAGTTTTGGGCACAATATTTAATTGCAACTTTGTATCGACTAAGGAAGCGGCCGCTTCTGATAGGTAACCTTGATTTGGTATTAAACAGGAACGTCCGAAACAGCAGGGACAGCACAGCTTGTGTATCCACTTCGTCCATTTCGGATTCAGTCTACCGTAGGGTTCCTCGTCTTTGGGTTTGAACACACCGATGATTTTCTAAAAAAAAAAAAAAAATTATTTACCACCAACTTCTTTAAAAATATAAAAACTAAATTTTTAAATTTTAAAATGTGCGTACATCAACCAAGCGTTAAGGAATCAAACAACTTAAGATCCAAACGTCCCCTTGAAGTTCACTTTGTTAACAAATACTCTACGCTTTGCATGAATTCACACGCACGATATTAGATTTCGTACGCGTTGAAATCAATAGCGATGAAAAATTTACATAGAAAATCTAAGCATGAATAATTACGTTATCGACATCTTTGACGAAGTATGAACCACTTGATCCTTGAGATATGCGCTCGGGAAAACGGCCTATATCTATGGCGGCTTCCGCTTTGGATACCAGATCATTGAATATTGGATCATCTGCAAAAAGAAACCGAAAACATTACTTAAACATTCAAAAAAACATCAAAACAACACTTAACATAATTACCACATGGGAAAAACCTATGCAAATAGTACTTTTACCTTTAAAATGATTACACGGCAATAATTCGAAGTGCATACGTGGTGTTGGCGTCGATTTGCGTACACTTGTAACCCGCGCCCGTCGCCAAATAACACGAAAAAAATAAAAACCAAAATACACCACGATGCCAACTCTACCCAGCAGCAGCAGCCACACGCTTATACTAGTATCCAGTCACCACGTTGCAATCTGCGATTACACACAATCGTTCAAACAGTTGCGGTGAGACTGCTGCTGATATTGTTTATTAGCCGATATCAACGACATCAACGACCGAAACGCGAACACAACGTGCGCCGACAGCCGCGGAATGATTCACGACGATTAGTACGCGCGGTGTCGCAGTAACTACCGTACCGCCAGCGAAATACACCTGCATGCGTGTATGTACGTAGTAAAGTCGATAATATTGTAATACGCCGCCGATAATTTTAATGTTAAAATATGCATAACCCGAAACGAATTGCGGAGTATGGAGTATTTCAATGTGCTTACATTGATGTACAAGTGTAAGTACATCAGATTTTACGTAATTTTACGTGAGATTGGTTTATTCAATTAGATTTAATCTAATTGTACACGCGGGGAGACAATAAGTGTACTTGAAAGTTATTGTAAGATAGATTTAAGTGAATATATGGATCAATAAGATTAAAAAAGTGATAAAAATTATGAATTTTGTTGTAAAACGCGTGAAAAAATAATATTTTTTAGTTAATTTATAAATTATTATGATTTTTATATTTATTTACCCCACCACAACATAAATAATACAATAGACAATTATTTTTCGTCTGTTTAATGCAAGTTTTGCAATTAGAATTAAAAATAACGCGAAAGTGAGAATTGTTATTACATTAACTTTTATTTTACTGCTTTTAGAGAAACTTTAACGTGTCAAAACATGTTTGGTGAGACTTAAATGAAGATTTACTTTCAACTAATGTCAATTTTGTTTGTTACGCTTTTTACAACAACAAAAACATTGAAAATAGCAATAATTGAGGTCAGAGATAAAGATTCACTAACTTTAAACGTATTAATAACTCTAACATTTCCTAATAACTGTTTTTAAATGTTATTTATTAAAAGATTTAGTTTTAGTCATGAATAATATCAACTAAAATAAATCCATGACTCAAGGTCACAATTATTGAGCATGATATGTATTTATTTTCTCAATGAGACCACATTAAGCATGATACAGATAACCAATGGCTTTGAAACGCACCAATTGATAATAAATCATTTGTCCCAAGCACAATTGCAACTACTATATTATAATTCATAATTGTAATCATGCAGATATGCCAATAAGTAACCACATATCTCATTCTCATGTGACTTTTGAATATGTATGAATATAGTCTACCTATTTTGCACAAAGCAAAACAAAAAACATAACACTATGACTCATAAAATGATGAAATGTTAAATAAATTGTTAAATACTGAGTACACTCACCAGGAAAATGATTGTAGGACACTTCCGCCGGGCCCAACAACGGCTGAGACTCACGATTGATGCCAGGCGAGTCCAACACTGAGCTGAACACCACCTCTGGTATCAAATGGTCCTCCTCGGAAGAGCCTTCCTCTTCATTTGACAAGGCACTGTGCACCTGACAGTCGACGGCGGTTGCGTTTACCAGAATAGGCACTGTTTCAGTCTCGGTCCCGCTCATCACAAATCGACGACGCCGCGCTCATTTAACAAAATCTTTTTTACTGTCTTCTTGGTCTTCACAACTGAAACAATTCAATTTTAGTTTATATAAATTTTGAAGGTATTTGGTTAATGATTATAGGAGAATATAATGTAGCAATATGTTACCAATTTAAATAAATGATCTCGCAGCGTTATCATGGGTGTAGATTAGAAAAAATTAAGAGTCTGTACTAATTAGTTGTAGTAACCTCACTTATCATGTATCGATTTTTAAAGTTTGATCGTTTTGCTTCGCTGTGTAACACTAATTGACTAGAAGTTCTTGGATTCACCGCGATGAGTTGAATGTTTTGCTGAGTGATTGGGCTTGAGTAACGAATTCCGTTTGCACTCGATGCTGGTGAAATTAAAACTTCGCACTTGTTAATCAACTCATCTTTGTATCACTTCAGCTGGGCTGCCGTCAATGTCGTTGATGTCATTCAGTTTTCACTAGATTTGTTAAGCAAAAAGCCCTAGAAAACACTAAAATAAATTAAAATAATTATTATTTGGTACTTAAAAACACATACTAAACTAAATTTAATATATGCTTTGTTAAAACAGTATATTAATTCATGTTTAAAGTAAATATTTACAGTTTTTACGTAAATTATTTGAAATATTTTAATCGCAGATAGGCAACTTTTTAATCTTTGCAGTATTGTGACAAACTGAAGTCAGACGTGTGTGTTGGACAGTCATCGGTTCATAACTTCACTTAACGTCTTGCTTAAAGCACTTTTTAATCGAGTAATTAATAAAATAAAACTAGAAAATGATCTCTCAACAGTTTGCCCTCATCTTCCTAGGTGTTCTGTTTACTTTATCAACTGAATTACATGGTATGTTCAATAAATTTTACTTTAATTTACTCTTACAAAACAAGCGGCATTGTGTCGCGCTCTCATTGGTTGCATGAGCTGCGTGGCATTTTCAAATCAATTTCCTATATAACACATTTAATTCGATTTTATTACAGCATCCAGACAAAGATATGTCACCTGCGGATCTGTAATCAAGTTAATAAACACAGATCACCGCGTACGGTTGCATTCCCATGATGTCAAATATGGCACTGGCAGTGGACAACAATCAGTCACAGGTACAGAAATCCAAGAAGATGTTAACAGTTACTGGGCAGTCAAAGCAGCTTCTGGTCAGGTGTGCCCTAGAGGGGAAGCAATCAAATGTGGACATAAGATTAGACTAGAACACAGCTCAACAAATAAAAATCTGCACTCACATCATTTCTCTAGTCCACTCAGTGGACATCAAGAAATCAGCGCTTATGGAGACAATGGTGAAGGAGATGTTGGAGATAATTGGGAATTGATATGCTCAGGTAATCATCAACATCATTTCCTATAAATTCCATCACAACAAAAATAAAAATTAAATTTTATTATTAATTTAGGCGAATTTTGGGAGAGAGACGACAGTGTCATGCTGAAACACGTCGACACCGATCAATATCTAGCTGCTACAGGAAGAACATTCGGGCGGCCGATCAACGGACAGATGGAAATCGCCGGTTTGCATTCGACAAGCGGCGCGGTGCATTGGCAAGCCATGGAAGGCATCTACCTACATGCATCTGAGAATATTAAGTCACATTATCAACCACATCATGAACTTTAACATGATTAATAGAACTGTTTTGTTTTTACACTAATTTGGTTTTAACTGCGCTATAAACACACAACTACAATGTGATTCAAGAATTTATTTGTGTAATTACTATCGAAATTTCTGTTTTGCGGCACAAGAAACGTGTGGGATGTTGAATTTTCACAAAATAGTGTTTATGTATATATTATTTCCCAAAGAAAATAAATTAATTGGAAAATTACATGATTTTGAAGTTTTATTTCATAAATTTCTTTGATTTTGTACCAAAACAACAAAAATCAGCTTTAAATCTTTAATAGTTTCTGAGTTGCAACGATTTTTACTTTTTTGAGGTTAGATTAAGCTTTTTCAACACAAAATAAGCATAAATTGCATGAAAATTACATTTTTTAAAGGTTTTGGATAGTTTTCTTTGAATTTACGTTAAATACAACAAAAATCAACTCAATATCTTTAATCATTTTCAAGTTACAATGATTTTTGTGTTTTTTAGGTTAGATTAGGCTTTTCCAGCACCTAATACAGAGTTTTGTATATGTTATTTTCAAATAAAATTATTTAATTGAAAAATTACATCTTTTCCAAGTTTATTTCATAAATATCTTTGATTTTACACTGAAAACAACAAAAATCAACTAAATATCTCAAATAGTTTCCGAGTTACAGCAATTTTTACTTTTTCAAAGTTAGTTTTTAATTAATAACTTCTAATAAACAAAAAATCTTTAGAATGTTTTAATTGTGAGTGTTACGTATGTACAAATACTTCCGAGTAATAAATTAGATTTTTAATTCGAAGTTTGGGTTCCCAAGATACTCGGTGATTTATGAATCGAAGGTGAAAACGTTTGTGCGCGTATGTGCGATAGCTACAGTGGCGAAACGGCATGAAATTGAATATTAGAAAGCGCTGTGTGCGTTATTGGAAGCTGTGCGACTCATCTCATCGCATCGCCTCTTTAATTTCAACGCGACGATGGCATCCGCGATATGTACATCTTTACATACGTCAACATACTTACAAGAAAAATGAAATTTTACATACTGTACTATTGGATATTTATTTACTAGCAAAACACCAACCTGTTTTACTCAGCAGATTCATATTATCATTTAGAAATTGATCCAGCAATACTTTTCCTTTTATATTACTATTTTATACATTCACCTTTAACATTGACAAAGAACTTTTATCGATAAAACGTTTATTATGTGTATAAATATTGAATTCTCTTTAAAATAACACAAAATATGTTTATGTTTAAATATTAAAACAAATAATTTCTTTTTTCTGTGTTTTTTTTGCTTTTTTTTCTAAAATTTTTTCTTCTTTTGCTTTTGTATTTTGTTTGTTTGAATTTTGTTTCTCAGCAATTACCGACATCGCGTAACTGATGCTACAATTGTGTTCTGTGGTGTAAATAAAGCGGCGAAAGAAAACGTTATTGATATATTCACAAAATGTACAAGTACATCGTTAAAGTAGGATATGCCAGCGAACAATACGTACGTAATGTGTTTATTTGTCCAAAATCTTCCTGCTCCCGCACACATTCAGCTTTCTTCATTATGAGGACGCTTCTTATTATCGTAATTAAATTGTTGACGCTGGTTTACAACACATTTTGTTACGCGATGCGTGCGGGACGAAAAAAACACAAATTTAAAAATTAAATCATTCGTACACTAAATATATTACGTAGTTAGTAGTATAATATTCTAAATTTGTTCCTTTCACGCTTGAAACACTGCAATAATATCAATAAATGTTGATAAAGAAGTGGATTAGACCTTGAAGGATGATATTGGGATAAAATTGTTGTTTTGTGCAAAGAATAACTGATAGTTATTTGGTTTGACGCGAGATGTCGCAAGAATGCACTTATTTGCTTAAAATTTTTTGTTTCTTGTGTTAAATGGCAATATTCGTACATTGTAAACAATACACGTTCTGCAGGTATCAACAAACACGACTTACTGATATCAACAAACTAGTTTTTGCATTGTCTCCTTCAATATTGACTACAAAACGTAAAATGTCTCAAGATGACGCTACGATGCACAATTTTACATAACTTCTTATTTATTTATGTTTGTATGGCTGTTTTTTGTCATTCAAATAATAAATGTAAATATAAATGTAAATATTGTCATTCTTTATATCATATTATAACAAACGTAGTTTAATTACACACGTATTACACTTATTACCATCATAATTAGTTTCCTTCCGCATCAGCAATGTCACATCTTTCTAATTCCCGTCTGCTACTATTAAACCCAAGCACAAACATAAAGTTAATACAAATATGAGAGTAAAAACAACTTCTATGCATTACATCTACAGTTTTCCGAATAGGAAGTGAGAAATCGCGAAACGCAATGAATAAACTCTCAAGATTGGATAAATGTGAATAAAATGAGCAAATATAGGTACGTCTAGGAAATTGCGCGTTCGCTTTTCATATATGGAATGTTTATATTTATAGATTCAGTCATTCATTCCATGTTTTTATTCTAATAAATTTCGCTTTACAATGCTAAAAACCGAAAAAATAAAAAAAAATAAAAAATTAACACTTAAAACGTTTACGGCTGTGATTATGCAACCAATTGTACAGCTAATAACACATTGACGTTACCAATCGATCTTGAAATATTACAAACACATATTCGTCGTCTGCCTGCTTGCAGAAGCGCGTGAATTAATGTTAGAAACGCAATTATGTGTGTTGGGATGACTTTTACTTTCCTTCCTCTTCGCCGACTTTCTTCTGCATTTGCAGCTCCTTCACTTTCTGGTATCACGGTCACATCGCGCGTTTATTAATTGTTTCTTCTTCATTTCGTTAATTGTCAAGACAATGCGACTTAAACCAATTTTAAGATGTTCATATTTGCTTAGAACGGTGTGAAAACACTTAAATTAAACACACGTTATACAAATCTTTAATACTTAAGTCAATACAATAAAAAACACCTTTTATTGAGCATTTTTAACAGTGTGAACCTTACCTAAGTTCAAATCCATGTAATTTTAGAGGATAGCGACTTTTAAGTCATCTTAACTTTTGCCTAGGAAGAGATTTCGTTTATTTTTAAATAAAACCAACATGCAGAGTACATTAAGATAATAAACGTTCATGTTCGTGCATATTGTACATTTCTTCATATTCATATTCATATAAATAAAGAGCATGAAGCACATGAAGCACATTTTTAGCTCTCCCACATTTACCTACGGGTATATCTTGGAGAGTTTCGCTGTTTTCATCTCGGCGGTCGTTAGTTCATTCGATTTTATAGTTTCGTCGTGACTTTTCATATAATTTATGCTTCGTGATAAACTTCTTATATTAAACTTGCGGTTTCGTTTTCCTGCGCGTGCGCCGACGAATGAAAACGTTTCTTGTGTTACATTGTGCATTATTAATTCTTTTTTTCGGCAAAATCACAAAATGAAAGTGGTTCTACTCACATATAAACATTTAAACAAAAAATATAATTAGTAATAAATGATATTGTCTATTGTTTCTATTTTGACAGTTTTAAATGTAAAATATATTACAACACATATTTTATTAATGAAATATTTCGTTTCGTATTGTTTTTGCATGCAGTTTCAAAACGCTTTTATTGAAATGCGCTGTGATGTGAAGTAATGAATTGCCGCATTGCAAAAACCGTAATAAATCACATCAATCACATCGAACGAGATGTGCGGCATCCAACGTGCATGATGATGGTTTACTTTGTCTGCCTGTTAGTAGTTGGTTGTGCCTGTTAGAAATGCGCACGATGGAGGAAATCGTAAACGTAATAGTGTAGTACCTATGTTGCATAACTTGCGACGTGTTAAAATCTAAAAAACGCCTTCCTTTCAATTCGAAAATCTTGATTTCGAACAATTTAATGACAAATTGATTTGTACCCAAGTAATCACCATTGAGTTTTTGTTTTAAATTACGCATTTAGTTAAGATGTGGCCTGGGTAAGATGATTTAGGAGGATGGTGATTGTAATGAATAGTTTCGAGTGCGATAAATGATGCATTACGAGAGTTTATTGCTATTAAACTGCTCAATTCTTGTGCTCTTACGTTTATAATCTGCGAAAAGAAAGTATGAATGTTGTTTTTGTTGGTTATAAAGCGGATAATGCATAATTTATTATTATTTCTGCCCTAGGAGTGTAAAAATTTGACATACTTTGTATTTCCGGTTGAATTTGACATGTTTTTGACAATTTTGACATTTTTGACAGCAAACATCAATATAACCTACAAATAAAACTTAGATTTACAATTAATATGACTAAATACGATTTAAAAACATTTTAAAACTATTTTTATATAAATATGTAGAAATACTATGTGTAATTAATGTAAAAAGTGTGTAATTAACTTTTGCACCAGTTATAAAGCGAATAATGCACATTTTATTGTTATTTGCTGCCATAGGACTGAAAAAACTCAACATACTTTGCGTTTCCAGTTGAATCCGACATGTTTTTGACATTTTTGACATTTTTGACAGTTCGCACCAACATAACCTCCAAATAAATCATACATTTACAGTCCACACAACTAAATACGATTGAAAAACATTTTACAACTCTTTTTTATTAAAAATATGTTGAAATACTATGTGAATAATTAAGTGTGTAATTTACCGTTGCACCAATTACGCACATGTTGCAATTCTCATTCTTCCCACGCGGAATATAAATACGATACCGATTTAATAAAAAAAATCCAGCTCCCATTGCTTTTGTTTTCTATTAATCTCGATACGTAATCTTCTCCTATTCGCCTTACTTTGCTACCGAACAACGATCATCGACTATTCGAAATGTTCCTTTTTTTCTTATTGCTTCTGCTGCAAAGCAATAAGATTACATCGCTAACAAACAGAAAAAAAAAACACTGATCTAAACTAAACTACATTTACTTTATTCGTGAGCGTATTTTTTGGCACACGCTTCTCTTTAATCATCTCTCTTTTATCGCTTTCATCGAAAGATGTATGAAGTGTACGATCTCGATCGCGATTGTTGAATTTTTAACCGATCGTTATGATTATGTAAGTCGGCGTTAAGTATTCTTAGCGGTATTTAACGTTTAGCGCCGTTATGTGATGCGCTAATAAGTGGATCATAACTTTTTGCCGTAACAATCGCAATAAAACTGGAGTGCAAATATGTGTTTCATGCATTAAATACTGGAAATAATACTTAATAGATGAATATTAATTTTTTATGTTTTAATTTAACAATAAAACGTTTAAATTATGGTTAGGATTGTTTTTTGGCGCTTTGTTTGACATTTTGACAGTCCAAGAAACAATTTTGCTCGCAGCGCCCTCTTTTACTGTAACAATTGTACTAAAACTCAGTAAAACTAGAATAAAACTGATACTTTTGCTGTCAGCGCCCTCTAAGACTTTGAAAACTACAAATCGGAACTTTTTCGCTAAAAATTGTAACAAAACTTGAATGTAAATATGTTTGTAATACAAAAATACTTAAAATATTAATTAAATTAGACTCACATTAATATTTTATCTTTTAATTGTACAATACAACTTCAAAATTAAGTTTTAGGTTATTACCAATTGTATTTTTGACATTTTGACAGCAAAACTTACACTTCCGCAGTCAGCGCCCTCTATAACGTTACAAAATAAAAATCAGAACTTGTACCATGTCGAAACATGACCGAAACATTTTGAAATCAACAAGAATTGATCAATTGGACATCAAAATAAGAATGCGTGACGATTACTTCCATTAAGGAAGTATTTGTAATTAATTAGCTTTCATTTTCCAGGTCTTTACCTACAGATGTTGTGTCTCCTCTGTAAAAGTCTTTAGTCTAATGCTGATTTCTTAATTGTACGAGCCGCGGCACGCTCTAATGACATTTTGCGCGTTTTGCGCAAGGAAAATCTAGTTAATGCGACGGGTCCATCAAAGATGCGACAGACACCAAACTAGATGCACTAGAAACGCCACAAACAAGTTGACACGACACATTAACCAACTTAACAACAAATAAAATAAGAACTAAAAACTAAATCTCGGAAAATTTATAATTAAATTAAATATTTTCAAGGACACAATTAAATATTACGTAAATTTATCTCATTAAATAAAATTGTACGTTTGCATTTCAAAAAAACAAAAACTAAAAGAAATAAGTGAGTAAAACACACGTAATCTATTGTATTGCATTATTTTTTCTGCAAAAAAAAAAAAACAGCGAAAAATAAAACTTTGCAAAACAAAAAGAATACATGAGTATAAATTTGTTTCGTGTTTGCAATCTCTCCCTGCCACCGCGTGCGCATCTCATCACATCACCAAAAACTTTCTTTCATGCATCTTCCTCAACGCCGACAAAAGTAGAAGGCGTAGCAGGATCACCACCACGACTGGCGCCGTAGTAAAAGCTACCAGAGGCGGCAAAGACGCTCCAGTCACTCGTCGGCTCTCAACAAGCACACAACAACCAACACCAAACAGAAAAATAAATAAAATCAAAAAAATACTTACAGAGTTGTGCTTCGCTGGTGCGTTTAACAGTCGCAAAGTGAACTCTTACACGGTGTCGATGTGGATGTGCCGGTGCGAATTCTCCTCCTAGCAGTTCCTCCGCTCCTCTTGCGACCTGCGCGCACTACGGCCGCACGGAAAGAAGCGCGCAGCGCGAGAAGAAGAGACGACGGCTTTGTTCGTTTGTTCACCGGCGACGACCGACGATGGCGGCCGCCGCGAGGACGTCTTTCGCGCTCTATGCGCTCCTGATCGTGTGCGTTGAGGCTGCGGTTGCGCAGTTTATTGGACAGCAATCGGTAAGTCGAGCTGTGCGCTCAGCAACTTACGCATGCACACATTGTGCATTTACGCACCCGTCATACTTGTTTTTTCAAATCGCCGCTTGCATTTTCACTGCACCACAACCACAAAAACATCAAAAACATCAAAAAAATTAAAAAAATACAAAAAAAAAACAACAAGAAAATTTTACACTCTGTTTATTATCAATTAATAAAATTAATAAACATGAAATTAACAATTAATAATCACGAAACATGATTAAAGATTACAGATAAAAAATAATTAATTAATACATGTTTATTTAATTGTTTCTGCGCGAAAGTAAACATAACCTAATCTTGACGTCGTTTGCGCATGCGCATCGCACGCGACATCAACATTTTCACGTTTCACACATTATATTGTATTTCTTTGATGCACCCAAAGCAACTTATACACACAGAGACATTTAATGGATGAGGTAAAACCTCCTCCGAGTGAAAGTCGCCGTTTATTTATATCTGTATGCGATTTTTTTCGTTTCAAACGCAGACGATTATTACTATTGATTACTTTTACCGAACAATAACACATAATTTACGTGCTGGAATTCTTGGATGAGTTTAAGTTCAAGTTTATCATTCCTGGCGGAGCTTTCTAACCTATAATTACCTGCGAGACCTTTAAGGATGCATAAACGTTTAATTTAATGGAAAATTACTTTAATCGGTTTATACGACGTGTATCTATGAACGTTTAACATTCCAACGCGTCTTTTATAAGATGCGAGCTTCGAATATAGGTGTAGGTGTAGTCCTTAAACTTTTGAGAAGAGAAAATTTATTTTGTCCTCGATTTTTTTGTTATTTTAATAGTGGTGAGACTTTTTTTCTTTTTTTTTTGTGTGGTGTTTAGTATTTTACACCTCGACATTTCGCAGTGACCTTTACGATAGTTAAACTTTTACTTTCCTCATTTCTCGCATTTCTTTCGCGCCCAGTTCACTCTCTCAGCGCGCAGCATCCTTCGCTTTCTTTGCGATTCTTCCGTTCGTGCAGTCATTAACTTTTTGACCTCTGTGCTTCGAGTGTTTATATTAATTGTCACGAACCTACTTAGGAGAAAAAGTGTGTTAAATTTTAACTTGTTTTAACCTTTTTGTTGATTTTTATTGTTTATTTACTGTTTATTTTGATTTGTCATGCGTAGATATGTAATTTTTGTAATTACATGTATTTACTTTTTAAGTACTTACTCAGAATCAATGTTTATTAAAATAAAACTTTCATTTTCTTGCAGTTTTAACCTAAAAATCAAAGAAAAACAACAAAAAATTGATAAAATATTTCTTTGGTTGTAATATCTCATTTATTACTATTATTATTATTGCAAAATAACTTTCTTAATCAAACATTATAGTTATACGTTTTATTGTGCATGAAAACATAGACTTTGTTGCTTTTTACACATCAGAAACAATGAATGAATCTTTTACACAACAATTATTTGAATGCAACACGAACTCATTTAAAATTAATAAATACATTACTTTCACATTAAAGGGACGAAATAAAACAAATTCCAATTTCACAGTGAGATAATTCAAAAGCAAAAACAATGATTTTTGGTTTTTGTTTTTGTGTTTATTGCATTTAGTATGGTTTTATTGAAATAATTTCATTGCATACAAAAGAACTGCAAATCACTAAAACTACAGTTTTTATATTTATATAACTTGAATAACGTGGGCGTGTAATCGCAATCCGTACAATTTCCTGTCTGCATAATGTGCACCGAAGCAGACAAATCTTTCTGAATGCAATGTGAAATTGCAAACTCTGCGGCATCGGCAGCCGTCAAAGAAGCAAAGACGATTGAAATCGAAATCGAAAGATAGTTATTATTGATCCACACTCTATAGTTGTGCAGTAGTTATTAAAACGTTGTGTAACCATCTAACACCCATAAAGTCCGTCGCCCTCAGGCTAAGAATTTGTGAGAAATGCCAAGATAGTGGTCAAAAAGTTATGAAACAAGCGAAATTTATTATTATTAATCTGAGTAATTGCAATCAGAGATATTTGAGTGCAAAATTTGTTGAGAAAATTCAAAAATGCAAAGATTAAGTGCGCAAGCGTAAATAATGACAGTTTCCTTTGCCTTTCCTAGTTTAAAGTTTTCAGTCAGTTTCGAAACTTGGTTGTTAGAGTCGTTCACACATTTTTTTTCGCGTATGCAATTTGTGTACACACGCTGAGAGTTAAATGTAAAAGGTCAAAAAGTAAAAGGATCGCAGAAGTTGCAAGTCGGTAGGTAGGAAGCCCGCCGTGGTCGCTGCGCGGCTGACTTAAGTCAAGTCTGTAAGCGCGCGCATCGGGTACGTATTCAAAATGATGAAACCGATGAAATTCGCACATGTAACGCGGAATGTGAACTGGCGGCATCGGAATACATTCTATTTATGTGCTTTTATCTGCATCACTGATCATTATTTACTGTGTATACTATAATTGTAACATTTACATGACTTAAGTCACTTAAAACATGTCACATGTCATTAATTTAACCTATAAATCACTAAAAATGTATAGGTTATGTTTTAAAATGTATATAAATGTTTTTTTCCGTTTTTAACCGGAAATGATCTAACCTGCAAGCATGCAAATAAGTATAATATACATAACAGCATTTTCATTCATTCTTTGTGCCTCCATTCAATACGCGCACTCTTTTAATGAAAAATAAAAACGTGCACAGTTGTTACATAGCGTTTAGCATCTTTCCAACTTTGTTTGAGTTGTTTTGACTTCCTTACTTCTCGTTGCTTGGTGAATGTGTCTTGAGAACATCACTATAATAAACACTGAGTTTCTTTGTTCATACAGGAACTGGAAAACTTTTTGGCAACAACTGAGAAAGTAATTTAATTACGTGTATCATTTATTTTAGTGCAAAAAGTAATTACAACCAGAACAATGTGTTGTTTTTAGGTTTAAACATAAAAACTCTTTTTGGTAATTACCAGCTTGTTTCCTAGTAATTTTATATAGAAATTAAAATGATATAATACATTTTTAGCTTAAATTGTTTTTTGGGTTGCCTATCATGTTTTTTACATTTACATAACCAAAATTTAACACTTTTTAATAATTATCTTATTGATTCCTGTAAATTTTAAGTCAAAAATTAAAAATATAAAATATTTTTTACAAATAATGCATTTTGGGATGCCTATCATACGCTTTACACTTACATAATCAAAATTAAACACTTTTTAGTAATTATCTTATGGATTCCTGTTAATTTTACGTCAAAATTAAAATAATATAAAATATTTTTGACAAATAATGCATTTTGGGTTGCCTATCATGCTTTTTTACACTTACATAACCCAAATTCAAATAAAAAATCACCCTTGACACAATATATGCTAATGGTAATGATATAATGATGATTAGCGTTAAAAAATTAAAACATTTCTTATACTTAATCTCATATGCTTGCGTAATTGGTACGGAGGTAATTTCGAGCTGCGCAATTAGAGCCATATACTAAATGATTTATTTCGAATGATTCCTAATTCCTAAAAGTTTGTAAACAGTGCAATAAACCAGGTTGCGCAATTCGTGTACATACAATTTTTAGCGAAGTGAAAGTACACGCCGCACTCGCATCATACACTCTCATCCTCTACATCCTCTTAAGACGCAGCGTCTTAAGACTAAAGACAACCCGTAATTATTGTCGTCGTCGTTGTTTTGTTTTGGTTGTGGCTTCGAATTCACTTTCAACGTGTTATTATGTGGATTATATGAGGACATTCGCGGCTGTTAATGAGGGAATGCCTTATACGGCGTTAAATTGGTGATAAAATTGAAATTATCAATCTGCAAAGGTTAATTTTAATCATAAGATACTAATAGGGTAAAAGTATAATTTTCTAATTAATTTAAAGTGTAAAATTTTTACTTTTTAGCTAAAAATGTAAGAAAAAATAATTATGCATTGCATTATTGTATAAAATATAAAAAAGACGTGTGTGAGCGGACGCAGAGATCAACGCAATCCTTTACATTTTCTGCGTGTTTAATTTCATATTCTTACATAATACTAATTAAAATATTTATTTCTACATTGTAAAAACTTGAGAAAATTTAAAATAGACGATCCTGCCAGGATTCGAACCTGGAATCTTCTGATCCGTAGTCAGACGCGTTATCCGTTGCGCCACAGGACCCCATACAACTTATTTCATACTAATTTGGATTGAAGTTGTTTGTAATATTGGTTGCATGTTAAGCAATTTGAATTCAGGGATGGGAAACACACAAGATTTTGTTTCGCCAAGCATTGCAATTTAGATTTATAACCGTCATTCATATGTGAGTCTACCATAAACGGTGCGAATCGGCCGGAATCAACGTGTTTCAACTGAATTTAACCCAGTTATTCAAACGCACGCTCACTGCTCACTTATATTTATACTTGGCTCATGCTCATGTTCCCAACTAGATCTAACTTCACTGATGACTGAAAGATTCGTGCATTCTCCGGCGGAGCTCGTAAATCGTTTCGGTCGTTTATCATTTTGCATATTCATTAAAATACGCGTTGCTTACGGCGATAAACATACACATGTTTAATAATTTAATCATTTCAATCTACATAATCTAAATATTATGATTATAATATGTAAATTGGTTGTAATTCAATTATTTTGTGATTATGTGATGAATTGTTTTGTTTAAATTGAAATTTTAACAAGTTTTATGTTGTTTAAAGCGTGATCAATGTAAAATTTGCAAAACATCAACGCAAGAAACGTTTAAACAAACCATTACTTAAGTCTTGCGCAATTGCTTAGCGTGTTTATCCTGAAAGTTTCAAAATGATCCATTACCTACATGAATCTCACAATTTTGCAATATAAACTCAATCGGAGTAATCGTTTTGATTACAATTATGTGTCTTTTATGTATTTCTAAATCACATGCACGTTTGTTTTCTGCTATTCACAGTTTCATTGCACAAACATTTTAATCTTAAACACGCGAATCCATCAGATTCTGTTTCAGCAACCATTTAACGATCTGCGACGCCCTCTGTCGACGCAACAGCAAGGTCACATATTGAGTGACATTCAACACAGATTCAATGTCCAACAGCAGCAACAACAACCACTGCAACCCTTGCAGCAATTCCAACAACAATTCCAACAACAACAGGTTCAGTTCCCGCAACAGTTCCAACAACAACCGCAACTGCCACAGCAATTCCTGCAACCTACTCAACAACCGGTGCCTCAGCAGTTTCTGCAACCCACTGTACAACCTACATCGATACCATTCCAACAACAGCAATCGCAAGTGTCCAGTCCTAATAGGAATGTACAACATCATATACAACATCATACCCAGACGAGTTTCACGCCGAATTTCCAACAGCAAGCACAACAACTTCCACAGACTCAGTCTACAGCATTACCCACAGTGGGTGACGCCATTTTTAATGCCGGAATTCATCAGAATACAGCGCAGATTGATCCAGAGAAGCAAAAACAACGTTTGAAGGAATTAAAAGAAAAACAGGCGATTATCGATAAACATAATCAATTCGTAGAGAAACAATATGAGAAAGCTCTGAAGAAAGCCCAGCAAGATCATTCTGAGTTCCTGGACACACAAAAAGAACACAAGAAGAAGTTGTACCAGAATCTGTACAAAGGCGAGAGTCAATATGATTCAATTCGATACACACAAACAAATCCCAGGTATATTTACCCAGAAGAAACTGAATTGTTCAAATTGGCGGTTAAGAAATACTACGAGGAACATCCCACTACCACTACAACAACCACAACAACACCTAAACCCACTACAACAACTGAAAAACCACGAATTAAACAAAAAACAGGCAAAACTTTAGAAGATCACGAATTGTATTTATCATCATCTCATTCAAAACTCTACAGTCAGATTAAATCAGCTACAGATAAGGATTCAGCCAGTACACAGACCAAGATACAATTTTTACCTACTGCAATTCCAACTAAAAAGATTCAGAATATTCAGGACCTCAGCGAATTGCAGAAACAATACAAAAATCAACAAATTAAAAAAGATGATTTATTAGCACAGTTGAGACTTGCAATTGGTGAGAATGCTGATGATGAGTTATCGAAAAACATAACCTCAAGAGAGATATCCTTACCAAATGGACAACGTGTACAGATCATTCGTACTTCTGATCCGAAATCTATCCCGGGAGCTAAGCCATTGGACTTAAACTCACCTGATTTCGCTAAGTTTTTGGTCCCGACCACAACAGGTAAACCACCAAAAGCTATCCTGGAAGAACTTACCAAAGGTGTAATCCCACCGGGAGCTGATTTTGAATTGTTGAAACACGGAACTTCCGGTTTGGAGCAAATCGGAGGTTTACCACAGAACATCCCTAATCAAAAGAAAGTCACATTTGTTCTTCTTGAAGAACAAAACGATGGCAGTTTTAAAGTGCAAGGTGTAAAGGGCAATTCAAACGGGAAAGAAAAAACGGAAGTTGATGTAGATTCTATTCTCAAGAAGATCAAAGATGGCGAAATTAAACTCCCACCAAATACAAAACTACAAACTAATGATGTAGATTCAACTTCAGAACCAATTACAAAAACAACTCAACAGGTTACTATCAACTACGAACCGGAAATCACTGTGCAACCAAATGTTGTATCAACTTTTAATAACAACAATGAAGGTTTGACAAGCACGCCGATTTTACGAACGAATATTGGCACGCATTTTGTTGCCAGCACAACACCAATTCCAACAACTTATTATACCAATAATAATCCAGTGAGGAATACCACTCCAAGATCAGTAGACAACAGCCCATCACCTAAAAACGTCCAAGACTTTGAACCATTGCGTTTGAGTTCAAGTGGAGATATAATCAGACAAACCACTAATGATTTATTCAGTTTGAGCCCAAAACCGACGAATCCTAGTTATGTCAGCCAGACACCAGGGGTCACCATCTACCAAACACCTTCCACATCAGCTCCTTTTGTTGGTTCATTCGCCCCAAAACAGGAAGTCATTGATAACTTCGATGATCCGAAGTATAATGAACTTCCAGAGGTTTTAAAACGTAATGGTCTCTTTGCAATGGCCAGATTCTTAAGACAATCTGGTTTGGATACCATTTTGAATGAAACAGGACCTTACACTGTTTTTGCTCCGACTGATAAAGCATTTAGGACATTGTTGGTGCAACTTGGTGGACCCGAGAAAGCCGAGGATAAATTCAAAGAAAACCCAAGACTTTTAAGTGGTGTAAGTATAGTTTACTCTGTATTTGGTAAGTACTGAGATTAGGTTATGTTGTTATTGCAGTTGCTGTTGCACCACGTAATCCCCGGCGCGTTTAAGATCGAAACACTGCAAGACGAAATGACCGGCGTTTCATTGGCGGGCACGCAGTTGCGCGTGAATCAGTACAACATGCACGACCTAGAATGGAACGATATTAAGGTAAGCATTTGCAAATTAACCGCAGTGTCGTGCTCCGTCAAACAATTGCGTTCGCGTGCTTTAATTACTCGCTTCGTGTGGTTGCATAACCCAGAGACACTAATGATCAAGTTACAGAAACCTGTAATTTTCATATTTAATGAACTGTTGGTGCTCTACCTCAAAATGAACTACTTTACTAAATCTATTCTCTTCTGAGCAGATTACAACAATCAACGGTGCTAAGGTCATGGATGACAAGAAAGACATCGAAATACCTCAGGGGATTGCACACGCCGTGGATCGCGTGATGTTCCCACTGCCAGTCGGGGACATCGTGCAGACTCTGCAATCGGATCGGGAGCGACGTTTCACAAGCTTCTTGAGAGCGCTCTTTGCCTCTGGTCTTGCTGAAACACTTCAAGGTAACCCCCATTGGATTACCACATGTTACCAATCGTTACCAATTCTTTTTTTAAATTTTTCAAAGGAACAAAGACTTTCACGTTGTTTGCACCGACAGACAAAGCTTTTGTCGGGTTAACAAGTGAAGAACTAACACGTACGGTCAGTGATCGTGTCCTCGCACGTGAATTAGTAATGCGTCACCTTGCACCCGGTACCCTCTACACCAACGGCATGAGATACTATCAAATCAGGGACAGTCTGGAAGCGAATCGACAGATTACGCTCAGCAAAAGTTCAGGTGAGAGAAAGCGCTGATATTAAATACTCCGACGTGTCGCATAACAAAAGTGTTTCTGGGCCAGTTAATAAGAACAATACAATTCATCAACAATGCTTTAATCGGTGCGCAGCCGTGCTTGTAAGCTGGTAGCAACAGAGAAAAAATCTGTGTCGTTTATTAATTAGGTAAAATTTGTTCGCACAAATAAAATAAATTGCAGCGATCACAATTCGAGAAAATGTTTTCATTCGCGCTGGCATCTCAAGATGAGAACAATCAAAGTGAAAGGATGAATCGCAGTGAACGACGCCGCGTCTGCACACACCGAGAGAATATTCAATGTCCGCACACTCGACTAATTACAATAATTCCACTCTTTTCTATGAGTATTCACACCGGTGCGAATATTGTGAGAACTTTTATTCTTCGCCGGCGATGAGAGTGTTATTTAATTCGTTTTAATGAGAGAAATCAACGAAATGACTTTACGAAATTAATGTGTATATAAATAGATGATAATCAGCGTATGAATAAATCAATATTTTAGTGTTGGACGTGGAAGAAATTTGATTCGAACAAAAGTGAAATTTCGGATGAGCTTATGAGAATTGTACAATTGTAGAAATGTCGTGACGTGAATATTTTCACTTTCTGCGTACTCGTATGCTTGCTGCATAAACGGCAATTATTGTTTCTAATAACTATGTGATTTCAATTTGTTTTGTTTTAACTTTTAGGTCGTGTTAAAGTAAACAACAGTCCAATCATCACGCAGAATATCCCAGCGACAAATGGTGTCATACATGCGTTAGACAGCCTTTTGTGATTCTTCATCGTCCTCAAGCTCAACACTTTCTTTTATCATTTACCATTACGTCGTAATATCCGCCATCTTGTCGATTTTTTCCATGCGATCTGCAATTACTTTCAATTACATAAATTATCATTCGTTTCCGATCTTCTTTCTCTTGAAGATAATTGCATCCAATTGCAACGATTCGAAAGAAATTGTATGCAAACGCCATTACGTCTTCTCTCGCATTTCACACATTAATTTATCATTTCTGCAAAGTGCTAGAAACCTCTTAACTCGTGCAATTCAAAGCGTAGATTTTATTGTGGGCTAATAATTGTAACGATAAGTTGTATATATAAATAATAATATTAATGATTATAAGACATAGAAGTTATATCGATAACTCGTTTTTTAAATGTATTATTGAAATGACAAATAATATATATGAGTGTAATATTTTTATCTCTACCAAATCGGATGTGTTTGTTATTTATATTGAAATACATGATAATGAATACCAGTTGTTATTTATTCCCTAAAAGTTTTCCAGAAATCATTGTAAGCCAGGACAAAACGTTAAAACGAGGTTACATTGTGTTTTTGAGCCTTTGTACTTAGTGGGACACCCAGTGTCTCCTATTTCAATAAATGTATGAGAAGAAGCAATATTTGAATTTGACATGCCTAACTCCCAAGCACGTGTGTACATTTAACCTCACTAAAACCAGCATGCCTTGATAGTTCTCTTCAATCATAGTAAACATAAACACGTTCCTTCTGAGTGCTAACAAATATTAATGATATAAAACATAACGTGATAAAAAATGAACTATTTGACGGAACCGACGTTAAAAAACCTTCAAGGTGATTTTGGAATACCTCCTAAGGAACAAAATATTGTAAGCGTAATCTGTACTCTAAATTTAATTGTAAATTAACACTTATAAATATTCTAGATTTTAAAACAATTAGGCCTGCCACACATCGCTTCCTTTGATTATATTACTGACCAGGGTCTGGCCCTAGCTATTGCTGATCTGGACCCAGTTGAATTTGATCTGCCCAATAACAATGACAGAATCAAATTGCAAATCATTGATGCCAGTTTATCACATTCACTTGTACCTCATGGCATTGCCGGCGTTAAAAAACCTATGGTATTACCATTAGAATGCCGCCAGAGACATGGTACATACAAGGGAAGGTTTGTTGGAAGAATAGCATGGAGTTTGAATGGAGTGGAGCAGAAACACTTTGATAAAGATTTTGGTGAAATACCCATTATGATAAAGTCAAATAGATGCCACTTGGCTAGAATGTCACCAGCAGAATTGGTGAGCCATGGGGAGCATGAACAGGAATGGGGTGGATATTTTCTAATTAAGGGTCTGGAGAGATTAGTGAGGATGTTGTTGATGACACGTCGGAATTTCCCGATTGCAATTTCACGTTCGGGATGGAAAGGACGCGGGCCGTTGTTTTCTGACATGGGGGTGATTATAAGATGTGTTAGGCAAGATGAATCTAGTGTGGTAAGTAATATTAAATCAAATCTTTAATAATTTTAAACATTAAACATTTTGAACATTTAAAACTATTGAATATTTAATGTTTTAGAATAATGTCCTTCATTATGTAACTGATGGTACCGTAAAAGTAATGTTCAGCCATCGTAAAATTCTCTATTACGCACATTTAGTCCTCATTCTAAAAGCGCTCTGCGACGTAACTGATAAATATATCCATAAACGCTTACTGCAAGGTTATGAAGATAAACTTCACTACACCGCATGCGTGGAGAACATGATCAGAATCGTTCACGAACAGGATTTACACACGCATGAAGAATGCAAAGCGCATCTAGGAAAAATCTTCCGCGTGAAATTTTACGAGTGTCCCAGCTGGTGGACGGATATTGAAATAGCGGATCATATTATCAAACGTTGTCTCATGATCCACCTTGATGATAACATGGAAAAGTTTGATATGTTGATCTTGATGTGTCAGAAACTGTTTGTTTTCTCCAGTAATAAATGTCTTGTTGAGGGTGTTGATTCTGTAATGATGCAGGAATTACTCCTGGGTGGACATTTGTATTTAAGTGTCTTGAAGGAGAAACTACAAACGTTTCTCACCGTGTTGAAAAGCGTTATTTTAAAGAAAGCTGGAAATACTTTGAATAGTTTGAATCTTGAGGAGATGAAAAACTGCGCGCGCATGTCGGGGACATTTGAAAGTTCGATGGAAGCGTTCTTAGCCACGGGGAATATATCTTCTCAAAGCGGGTTGGGTCTGATGCAGGATAAGGGATTGACTATTGTACCGGAAAATATCAACCGGATGCGATACATGAGTCATTTTAAAGCTGTGCACAGAGGTTCGTTTTTCCAAGAGATGCGAACAACTGAGGTGCGACAACTTTTACCAGACGCCTGGGGTTTTATCTGTCCGGTACACACACCTGATGGTGCACCATGCGGACTGCTTAATCATTTAACTCTGGATTCAGTTGTGACGGTGCAACCAGACGCTTCTAAATTGGCAAAACTTCCTGAAATGTTGCAATATTTGGGAATGAAAACGATTGATAAGTGTAAGAAAAAGTCCTATGTAGTAATCCTGGATGGAAAAGTTATGGGATACGTAGATCAGGAACGCGCTAGTGAAATGGCGGACACATTGAGGATGTTGAAAATTAAAGGGGATGAAGTTCCAGAGCACATGGAGATTGTTCTGGTAAAAGCTAAAGAAAGTCGTGGACAATTTCCAGGCTTGTTTTTGTTTACTGGTCCCGCAAGGATGATGCGACCATTGTGGAATTTGAGAGCGGGTAAAAGAGAATTTGTGGGCACTTTCGAACAAGTCTATATGGAAGTAAGCGTGTGTCCGGAAGAAGCGTATGAATGCACTACACACATGGAGATATCCAAAACAGGATTCATGTCTAATTTGGCACGTTTGATTCCTATGCCTGATTGTAACCAATCACCTAGGAATATGTACCAGTGTCAGATGGGAAAACAAACTATGGGTACACCATGCCATACTTGGGATCTTCAAGCGGAGACGAAGTTGTACAGGTTGCAAACACCAACTAGTCCTTTGTTTAGACCTGTGCATCATGATAATATTGGGTTGGATGATTTTGCCATGGGGACCAACGCCATTGTCGCTGTTATTAGTTATACTGTGAGTGTAACATTCTGTTGTAACAGAACTTTGAAATAATTAAAATAATTAAAATGTTTAGGGTTATGATATGGAGGACGCCATGATTATTAACAAGTCGTCGTATGAACGTGGTTTTGCACATGGATCTATTTATAAGACGGAGTTTATCGAGCTGGAGACGACTGGTTCATATTTTTGTCGAGATCCGACTAATGCTTCATTGGTTACTTATTTGGATACGGATGGTTTGCCGTATGTCGGACGGAAAGTTACAATGGACGAGCCGATTTGCTGTTTCTATAGCACCGATCGAAATATGTATGTGGTGCAGAAGGCTAAAGCGAAAGAGGAATGCTACATAAATAGCGTACGACTTTGTGGCGAGTTTAGTTTAAAGAAGCCACAAGTTGCATGTCTAACGTTCAGAGTGCCGGTAAGCATCAATTACATTGTAAATGTATTTAAAAGAATCTGTAAACGCCATTTTCTAATCGTTTTATGTGTTTAATTTAGCGTAATCCAACTGTCGGCGATAAATTTGCATCTCGGGCCGGTCAGAAAGGTATTTGCTCACAGAAATGGCAATCTGTTGACTTACCTTTCACGGAAACTGGCCTAGTACCTGATATTGTCTTCAATCCTCATGGTTTCCCGTCTCGTATGACCATCGCCATGATGATCGAGATCATGGCGGGAAAATCAGGCGCCCTCCATGGATTAGTACATGACGCCACACCATTTAAGTTTGACGAAGATGATACAGCGATCGACTACTTTGGGAGGCTTCTGGAATTTGCAGGCTACGACTACTATGGAACCGAAACAATGTATTCAGGTATTGATGGTCGTGAAATGAATGCGCGCATCTTTATGGGGGTTGTACACTACCAACGCCTGCGGCACATGGTATCAGATAAATACCAAGTACGTGCAACTGGACCAATTGACATTCTCACACGGCAGCCTCTCAAAGGAAGGAAGCGTGGCGGTGGTGTGCGTTTTGGTGAGATGGAGCGGGATTCGTTGATTAGTCACGGCGCCCCATTTTTACTACAGGATCGTTTGTTACACTGCACTGATAAATCCACGACCCAACTTTGTAGGAAATGTTGTACCTTGATTGGTGTCTTGAAGGTGGTGACGAGTAAAGCAGAAAAGCCGAATCAATCGGAAGTGAAGGATAAGTGCCAGTTTTGTGGCGGAGAAGGCGACACTATTGCAGAAATGCAAATTGCTTATATTTACAAGTTTCTTGCGAATCAACTTGGTTCTTCTAATATTAGTATTAAGTTAGAGGGCGAAAATGATTAAGTTGTATTTGTTTAAGCTTACCTGTAATTAATTAAATATAAACTATTTCATTACATTCATGTTATCATTATATTCACATTATATTTCATTCAGGTGCAACATAACTGAGGCTTGTGTTGTTGTTTTTAAAAAGTTGAATAAAGTAGAAACATAAATAGAAGAATCAAATATAAATGATAAAAACACTCGGTGGTCGAGTGGAGACGTGCACCTGCTGGCATGCTGGCAGACACGGATCGAATCTCAGGTATAGAAGGCATTTTTCTCAAATATAAAAATATCAGGTGCAATTTGGGTTGCATATATGAATTGCGACGAAATATAAGAGAAATTGAAATACAAGTGAAGGCAATAAGAGAAGTAAGAAAAGTAAGTGGAGAAACGAGAACAGAGAGAGAAATGGAAGTAGGAGTAGTAAAGAATAAGAGAAGATAGAAGGAAGAGAACAGAGAGTAGAGTAGAGAAGAGGGAGGAGATAGAAGAAAGAGAACAGGGGAGGATCAGATTTTTAAATTTTTTGGCCCGTGTCGTTATAAGACAGTCTAAGGACGATCTCCCACTGCTTCGATGCGTCCATTGCTCCCGGCCCATCCTACAGCTACGATGTCTCTGCGCTTCATCCCCGGAATCAGGCATATCAACAATTTTTATAGTGGGGGATCACCCCCAGAGAGAGGGAACTCCTTATAAGGACAATCCTTATAAGGTCTTGTTCAAATATTTCTAAGTTTTAAGTCGCCTCAAGAGAGGTGACACTTAAAAATATTCTTACAAGTTCTGACCTGTAGCTGGAATGAAAGAATGAGTACACAAATCATACAGGTTACCTTAACAATTTTTATAGAGGGGATCATCCCCTGAGAGAGGGAACTCTCTTAGAGACCTGTACCTGAAATGATAGAAAGGGTACATTCAAAGCATAAGACATACTATTTCTAAACATTTCTTTATTAATAAACACAATGTAATATAATACATGATTAGTACCTTAACAATTTTTATAGTGGGATCAGCCTCTGAGAGAGGGAACTCTCTTAGAGACCTGTGCCTGTAGTGATAGAAGGGGAACGCACAAATCAAAGAAATAAATATATCTTACTATTTATTTATTAACAATAGAATACAAGTTTATATTTTACAAGTCAACAGAATACGTGCCGCCATATTGAAGCAGGACTTACGACCTGCATAGTCGCGCACATGCAAACAAGTACTACTTTGTAAAGTTTTACCGGGATAATTAACAAATAGCCTATTTTCTATGTGATTGAAAATGAAAACAAATATACAGGGTGTTACAAAAGGAAAATTTACAGTGCAAACCAAAAACTATCAATACAAACGTCGCTCCTTATCACTAGACGATCAGGAAAACTAATATACAGGGTGTTAGAAAATTTTCGAAACTACAAAGATAATCAATATTCACATCATGACACGGGAAATTTATATGGAAACAACATTATTTTAATATAAATTAAAAGATTTCACCCGAAAATGATCGGGAAATTAAGCAAAAAGATGCTAGAAAACAATTACATTTTAATATATGTTAATATATGTGTCATAAATTGATTGAATATCCGGTGGAAAACATCTAAATCAACAGACGGCAAGCGACGGCGCGTGGCATTACTGTCTTTAAATAAGATAAATTTAACTAGGTAATTCTTTGTAAATATTAAGATATACACGGAGACTACGAAAACGAAGAACTATTCACCGTACAAGATTTTTACGTCAACAAGAGACTTCTTAATTTACTGATGCTAACAAGTGCAATTCCATTAAAAACGTTCACGTGTTCAGCGAAAGGATGCCCGAGCCGACGGCCGTCGGCAAACTGAGCGCGGTGGACCACATGAATATTGTCATTTTAATAATCCCCAGATAATTTTTAAAACCGTCTTTGTAATAATTAAATCATGCATGTTATTTTCGGAAACGGGACTAATATTTCTGATAGGAATGGAACCACGTGTTTGTAATTTGCAAGATAATACAAGCAAAATTGCTAAAAGTGACATTTTGCAATTTTTGATGATTTTCTTCAATCGCGAATATCTCGTAAACTAAAAGAGATAATTAAGATCTGATCGCAGCGTCTTAATCTACGGACCAATCTCTATCAGATAGGATAGTTAAAAGGGAAATCTGAGAGATGAAATTTTAAGTCTTTAGAAAAAATTGCCAAGGGGTGTTTGATACTTTTTTCGACGAATTTCAAAAATTCATATCTCTTAAACTAAAAGAGATAGCTACCAACGAATTGTTGATTATGAAAGATTGGAAGATTCTCTATCAGATAAAAATATAAAATAATTATATTTCCTACAGTAAAAGTTCGAAAAACGCGACTAAAAGTGCTAAAAGTGACATTTTGCAATTTTTGCCCATTTTATTCAATCGCGAATATCTCGTAAACTAAAAGAGATAATTAAGATCTGATCGCAGCGTCTTAATCTACGGACCAATCTCTATCAGATAGGATAGTTAAAAGGAAATCTGAGAGATGAAATTTTAAGTCTTAAGAAAAAATTGCCAAGGGGTGCTTGATACTTTTTTCGACGATTTTCAAAAATTCATATCTCTTAAACTAAAAGAGATAGCTACCAACGAATTGTTGATTATGAAAGATTGGAAGATTCTCTATCAGATAAAAATATAAAATAATTATATTTCCTACAGTAAAGGTCGAAAAACGCGACTAAAAGTGCTAAAAGTGACATTTTGCAATTTTTGCCCATTTTATTCAATCGCGAATATCTCGTAAACTAAAAGAGATAATTAAGATCTGATCGCAGCGTCTTAATCTACGGACCAATCTCTATCAGATAGGATAGTTAAAAGGAAATCTGAGAGATGAAATTTTAAGTCTTAAGAAAAAATTGCCAAGGGGGTGCTTGATACTTTTTTCGACGATTTTCAAAATTCATATCTCTTAAACTAAAAGAGATAGCTACCAACGAATTGTTGATTATGAAAGATTGGAAGATTCTCTATCAGATAAAAATATAAAATAATTATATTTCCTACAGTAAAAGGTCGAAAAACGCGACTAAAAGTGCTAAAAAGTGACATTTTGCAATTTTTGCCCATTTTATTCAATCGCGAATATCTCGTAAACTAAAAGAGATAATTAAGATCTGATCGCAGCGTCTTAATCTACGGACCAATCTCTATCAGATAGGATAGTTAAAACCGAAATCTGAGAGATGAAATTTTAAGTCTTAAGAAAAAAATTGCCAAGGGGGGGTGCTTGATACTTTTTTTCGACGATTTTCAAAAATTCATATCTCTTAAACTAAAAGAGATAGCTACCAACGAATTGTTGATTATGAAAGATTGGAAAATTCTCTATCAGATAAAAATATAAAATAATTATATTTCCTGCAGTAAAAGGTCGAAAAACGCGACTAAAAGTGCTAAAAAGTGACATTTTGCAATTTTTGCCCATTTTATTCAATCGCGAATATCTCGTAAACTAAAAGAGATATTTAAGATCTGATCGCAGCGTCTTAATCTACGGACCAATCTCTATCAGATAGGATAGTTAAAAGGGAAATCTGAGAGATGAAATTTTAAGTCTTAAGAAAAAATTGCCAAGGGGTGCTTGATACTTTTTCGACGATTTTCAAAAATTCATATCTCTTAAACTAACAGAGATAGCTACCAACGAATTGTTGATTATGAAAGATTGGAAAATTCTCTATCAGATAAAAATATAAAATAATTATATTTCCAGCAGTAAAAGGTCGAAAAACGCGACAAAAAGTGCTGAAAAGTGACATTTTGCAATTTTTGCCCATTTTATTCAATCGCGAATATCTCGTAAACTAAAAGAGATATTTAAGATCTGATCGCAGCGTCTTAATCTACGGACCAATCTCTATCAGATAGGATAGTTAAAAGGAAAATCTGAGAGATGAAATTTTAAGTCTTAAAAAAAAATTGCCAAGGTCCTTAAACTAAAGGAATCAACGAATATTATAAGTTGGAATTTCTCAGATAAAAAATAAAAATTAATTCCACAGAAATAAAACCCAATTAAAGGTTAAAAGTAATTTTCCCGGGTTTTCCCCCCCCCCCCCCCCCCCCCCCCCCCCCCCCCCCCCCCCCCCCCCCCCCCCCCCCCCCCCCCCCCCCCCCCCCCCCCCCCCCCCCCCCCCCCCCCCCCCCCCCCCCCCCCCCCCCCCCCCCCCCCCCCCCCCCCCCCCCCCCCCCCCCCCCCCCCCCCCCCCCCCCCCCCCCCCCCCCCCCCCCCCCCCCCCCCCCCCCCCCCCCCCCCCCCCCCCCCCCCCCCCCCCCCCCCCCCCCCCCCCCCCCCCCCCCCCCCCCCCCCCCCCCCCCCCCCCCCCCCCCCCCCCCCCCCCCCCCCCCCCCCCCCCCCCCCCCCCTAAACCCAAAAAGAGTAATAAGTCGATCGCACTCTTAATCTACGGAAATTCATAATAGGGTAATATGGAATTTTCTCGCAATAAATTTCGATACAGGGAAATAAAAAATTAAATTCCGCATCAGGGAAAATTATTCCGAACTAATTTTGAGATCGCGTTCGCGAGTTATAACAAGAAAACGACAATTCCTAGCGCAACGAGTACCAGTACAAATGCGTAAACACACAACTATCATTATAACTCGCGTTACGGAATTTTCTCGCAATAAAGTCCGATGCTGGGACATAAAGAATTAAATTCCGCATCTAGGAAAATTATTGTGAGCTAAGTTTAAAACCGCGGTCGCGTGTTATAATAAAAAAAAATTACAATTCCTAGCGCAACGAGTACAAGTGCGTATACACACAACTATCAATATAACTCGCGTTACGGAATCTTCTCGCATAAAATTCCAATACAGGGAAATAATAAATTAAATTCCGCATCTAGGAAAATTATTCCAAACTATGTTTGAGACCGCGTTCGCGTGTTATAATAAAAAAACTACAATTCATAGCGCAACGAGTACCGGTATACCAGTACAAGTGCGTATACACACAACTATCATTATAGGTAACTCGCGTCACGGAATTTTCTCGCAATAAAGTTCGATACAGGGAAATAAAGAATTAAATTCCGCATCAGGGAAAATTATTCCAAACTAAGTTTGAGACCGCGTTCGCGAGTTATAACAAAAAAACTACAATTCCTACCGCAAATAGTACAAGTACAAGTGCGTATACACACAACTATCATTATAACTCGCGTTACGGAATTTTCTCGCAATAAATTTCGATACAGGGAAATAAAGAATTAAATTCCGCATCTAGGAAAATTATTGTGAGCTAAGTTTAAGATCGCGTTCGCGTGTTATAATAAAAAAACTACAATTCTTAGCGTAACGAGTACCTACAAGCGCGTATACACACAACTATCATTATAACTCGGGTCACGGAATTTTCTCGCAAAAAATTTCAATATAAGGAGAGACCGAATTAAATTCTGCATCTGGGAACATTATTTCGAACTTATTGCTACACCGCGTTCGCGTGTTATATCAAAGAACTACAATTCCTAGCGCAACGAGTACTAGTGCGTATGCACACAACTTTCAATATAACTCGTGTTACGGAATTTTCTTGCTATAAATATTAATACAGGGAGATGCCAAATTAAATTCTGCATGTGGGAAAATTATTCCGACCTTATTGTGACACCGCATTCGCGTGTTATGTCAAAAAAACTACAATTCTTAGCGCACGAAGGTAGCGGTATAAATGACTCGTTTTCAAGGCACCCTACGAAGGTAGCGGTAGAAGTGACTCGAGTTCAGGGTACCGTACCAGGGTAGCGGTAAACTACAATTCCTAGCGCAACGAGTACTAGTGCGTATACACACAATTTTCAATTTAACTCGAGTTACGAAATTTTCATGCAATATATTTTAATACAGGGAGAGGCAGAATTAAATTCTGCATCTGGGAAAATTATTCCGAACTTATTCTGACACTGCGTTCGCGTGTTATGTCAAAGAACTACATTTCATAGCGCAACGAGTACTACGGCGCACACATACAACTTTCAATATAACTTGCGTAAAAGAATTTTGTCCCAATAAATTTCAATACAGGGATATACAAAATTACATTTTGCATCTGGGATAATTATTCCGAACTTATTGTGACCCCGCGTTCGCGTGTTATAAAATATAATTGAATTATAAACATACCAGTGCACAGGTTATCGGGCTGCCAGGCACAACGAATGCTGTAACTAAACGAAAACATTAATTAAAACAAATATATTTCATACATTTGAATTATGTTATAATTAACAATCAACACAAAATAAACAATCTGTGCAGCAAACACAATACTTACACGAGCCTGATGAATCTTTCTTAAGGTGGGCGATATATATCCGATTAATTTAGTAACAGACACCATCAAACACAACGCCGAGTGAAGAATGTTATCAAATCCACTGTCACGTGACTTGTAATATACATATCAAACGCGATCAAAAACCAACATTTCCTAACATTAAACAAATGACTATAGTCGTAAAGAACAAATAAATAGTCGATTGAGTTTAGAGTATAACACGAATTTGGAATATTGAAGTCCGAATAAACGATATAAGTCTCACAAAACACAACTGGGTTAAACAGCAACCGGCACAAAACTGGCTGCAATCCACCGATAGTGCATGCCGAAACTGCGTAAACTACGACGCGACAATACGAGTATATGAAAGCAAGAGGTGCGCAAAGACGTTGAAGGCAAGCGACCATTTTATTCAATGGCGAAAATCTCGTAAACTAAAAGAGATAAATAGGAACAAATCACAGAGACTATTCTAAAAACTATTCTCTATGTGATTGGCTAGTTAAAGCGGAAATCTGAGAGATAAAATTTTAAGTCTTAAGAAAAAATTGCCAAGGGGGGGTGCTTAATATTTTTTTCGACGATTTTCAAAAATTCATATCTCTTAAACTAAAAGAGATAGCTACCAACGAATTGTTGATTATGAACGATTGGAAGATTCTCTATCAGATAAAAATATAAAATAATTATATTTCCTACAGTAAAAGGTCAAAAAACGCGACTAAAAGTGCTAAAAAGTGACATTTTGCAATTTCTGATGATTTTATTCAATCGCGAATATCTCGTAAACTAAAAGAGATAATTAAGATCTGATCACAGCGTCTTAATCTACGGACTAATCTCTATCAGATAGGATAGTTAAAAGGGAAATCTGAGGGATGAAATTTTAAGTTTAAAGAAAAAATTGCCAAGGGGGGGTGCTTGATACTTTTTTTCGACGATTTTCAAAAATTCATATCTCTTAAACTAAAAGAGATAGCTACCAACGAATTGTTGATTATGAAAGATTGGAAGATTCTCTATCAGATAAAAATATAAAATAATTATATTTCCTACAGTAAAAGGTCGAAAAACGCGACTAAAAGTGCTAAAAAGTGACATTTTTCAATTTTTGCCTGTTCAATTCAACTGCAAATATCTCGTAAACTAAAAGAGATAATTAGGATCAGATAGCAGCATCTTAATCTACGGACTATTCTCTATAAGATAGGCTAGTTAAAACGGAAATCTGAGAGATGAAATTTTCTGAAATTATTCCGAACTTATTGTGATACGGCATTCGCGTGTTATACTAAAAAAACTGTAATTCCTAGCGCAACGAGTACTACAACGCACAGAATACGAGTATACAACTTTCGGCACGAGGAGATGGCAACGCATTTTTTGCAGAAACTAAACGCAATAGATAAGTACGGATTGAATATTCTTAATTCTCTAGAAGATAAACGAGTTAAATTGAAAATCTAATAAACGAAAAAAATAATTTAAAAAGGGTAGCGGTAGAAGTGACTCCCATTCAGGGCACCGTACGAGGCTAGCGGTAAAAGTGACTCGTGTTCAGTGCACCGTACGAGGTTAGCGGTAAAAAGTAATGAAAAATTAAAATTCAATGTGTGTAATTCTGATTTCTTATGCTGCGTTTTACAAGTTTGTTTCCAATATTAAATCATAAATCGTATCGTATAAGCGCTTTTCTTGCAATAATTTAATACAACCGGATATAGAATTTAATTATGCATATTTGGACCCCGCGCCCAAGTTTGTAAGACGTTACTCCTAATAACAAAAAAAATTAACTATTTAATGCTAACGCTTTAGTAGAAGGCTTTGCACAACGCTGTGGACCACGACAAAAAAAACGTAAATGCAAAGTAATGATCGACACAGAAAATGAAACGAAATATATAATTGAATTATAAACTTACCAATTAATGCAGAACATCAGACTCCAAGCCTCGGCAAATACTGTAAATAAAAAAAGAAAACATAAGTAATATTATATTCACACAGAGGAGAAAAACAAACAATCTGTGCTGTTAAGTTAAAAGTTACTAACATCAGCACGATGGGTCGTCCAAATTTTAAATAAATCAACATGGCCACGAACACTTACGCGCACATAATAAATAACTGTAGTAAAGTTACTAAAGTTACAAATATAATACGAATTGGAAAGTAGAACTCCGGATAAACTATACGAGTCGCGCAAAATACGTCTGGATCAACCAGAGACCGGCACGAAACTAGCTGCAAACTGCGTAAGCAACGACGAGGCAGTTTATGATAAGAAAGCAAGAGGTGCGCAAGGCCGAACGCGACCTTATGTGCGAATTGCAATAGATGCGCAAATCCGTCAGCGCGTTGGCGGCACGCGACCTTGTGTACGAATTGCATTTGACACTTTACCTGGGATCAAAACTAAACTAAGATGCAGCAACATGCGGCGTGAGGTGCTGGCAGCGACGACACACGGCTATGCGATAAGAAAGTGTGAATTGTGTTCAAAACAAACACAATTCTGGTGCCGAATGCCCACGCTTGCCGATACATATAGAAATAAACAATACAACTTTATTTTACAATTTTTAGTCCATGCTATTGTCATCTATAAATGATACAGTAGTTTCGAAATTTAGATTAGTAAAGGTTATAAAAAATTAAAATTCGATTTGCATAATTCTGATTTCTTATGCTGAGAGAGTGCCAGATTTTACATAAAATATTTAAGTGATATCTGCTTTAGTGATCTGCTGATAATAAAAATGTTTTGCATTCTTGATAATTTTTATAATAAACTATTAGAATTAATATAAAATTGTGAGTTATATTCATGAATGAATCGAAGAATATTTGCTTAAATTTACGATGCTAATATAACAAACAGCAACGCTGTGTTTTGATTCCACGAAATAAAGATTCGATACCTGCAGGTAAACAAACTTATCTCTTGCGCGAAATCGCGTGATCGCACACGGACACGGTGTGCACTCACTACCACCAACAAGCAATATTTAATGCAAAACCGTACATCGTAGTGCCATCTAACCTTTGAAAATATTAAAACATATAAAACACATATATTTGATAAATGTGTTTTGAATATTTTTAAGTTGATAAGTATTTTCAATATTTTCAATATATATATATATAGGCTAGCGGTAGAAATGACTCCCATTCAGGGCACCGTACCAAGGAAGCGGTAGAGGTGACGCCCATTGAGGACACCGTCAAGGGCTGCGGTAGGAGTGACTTATGTTCAGGGCACCGTACGAAGATAGCGGTAGAAGTGACTCCGATTCGGAATCATAAAAATTTAATTATATGTAATTTCAGAACTATTGTCCTAATATAGAATCTTGGTCAAAACGTAAACAAACATAAACTAGTTTGCATGCATTAGTGAAACACGTCGGCGTGAGATGCAGCGCGGTGTTTATGCTTGTTGGGATTTTAGAAATCTTTATGCAAACATTAAAAGCAAATGGAACCCGACAAAAATGTGTGATAAATTGTTATGATTCAATTCATTTCATGCGTAAACTTAAAAAATAGGCATATATAATAGATAATACTGTGACAAAATACCCCGTATAACAATAACTGCCTGCCATCTAAGGCAAGAACTGTAACAAAATAATACTATGTAAATAATGCACGACACTACAATACTCCATATCAAACACAGCCAGATAAAAAAACTTGTTTTAAAATAAGATTTACTTACTAGGTAACATGCTCGCGCGACAATCTTTGTGATCCATAACATCCAACAGTCGAAAGCGAATAATTTCACGTTCTCCAACATTGCACACACTCTAAATAACACGACACATTTGTTATTATTACATGGCGTTTATACGTGATCGAATATAACACGATGTACCGAATTAATCGCTATCGGAACTTGCGAAAGAAGTACATATAGTAATCGACCACAGAATATACTCGTAATTTCACTTCGACACAGGTACGTGACAGCGACGGCGGTAAGTCATTCGCGACTGTGCAAATGCAAGACACTGAAGTTCCATGCAGAGTGTGAGTTCCGACGGCACATCGTCTCATGGACGTAAACAAATAGATATAGCAGATAAAAAACAAAACCTGCTGCGCCAATTCGCGAGATCTTGCACGGCGGACACGTACGTTACCTTTTAAGGCCAACCAACAACTGGCACTGATAAGTCCGCTTAGAATTTAATGCAAATATATGTCTTCCAGCGCCATCTTGGCTTGTTTTATAGAATTATTTTTAGATTAATTGATATTTAGCAACAAAACACATAACATATTATAAACTAAATGAACTTTTATTCATTTTTGGGTGTCACCCAATGCATTACCGAATTCTAATTCTAATTTTTCTATGCCCCTTCGCATAAACTAGACAAATGTGTTTTATTAAATAAATTATTGAGTTACATCTTAAAACAAAGTACAAAATTTGACTACAAATGTTATAATAACAATTCGAAATGGATCATGAGATTTTTGGAATAGATAACAATTTAACATTTATCTGTAGTTAATGTAGTTCCTTAAGACTATATTGCATTTGTAAAAATGATAATATGAAACAAAGCAACAATGAAACACGAACTTACTCAATAATAATAAAAAGCAAACGGTTGATCCAATAGAAAAATTACTCATAATATAAACGCACCTAATCAAATAATATAACTTCAATACACTAGCATGTACAATTACCAAAATGGAGTTGCTTCATGATCAAAATCCCTCATTTAACTAAGTAAATATTAATCTACGCCTTATCAATTAGCATCTTAATATAAAAGAATACGTTTCTCGACAGCCTTTCGGCAAATCGGACATTCCGTCATTTGATCCCCGCACATTTGACACAGGCCATGTCCACAAAGGAATATCATGTTCTTCAAACGATCCAGGCACACCGGACACATGGTCTAAAAACAGAAAACAAATTAATTTCCATAAAGCCTTTAATACAACAGTCACCTACTTGTTCCTTAATATCGTGCAATTGTTGTTGCAACTTTTGCAGATCATTATTGGAATCACGACTGCCATTATTCATAATTGGTCCTTGTGCGGCACCCGGGTCACTGGTAGAAGGCTTGATAGGTTCCACTTCAACCTCATTCTTCACCTCTGATATGGTTCCCGTTCCGCCCGTGCATATTGTCATGGGTATGATGAGTTCAATGTGCGACCGGCAAGTGACGCACTTTTTCATAATTTGCGCGCAGCATTCACAGGCGCACATGTGACCGCAAGGCTTAAACAATACCGACGCCTTCCTGTCCGAGCATACTAGACATTCCTCGATCTAAAACAAAGACAAGTTTAGTTTTTGTATAAACTAGAAAAAGATGAAATAAGAATTTTACCTTAACTCGAGCTGATACATTCTCTCTGCAGATGAGGCACTTCTTCACTCGGGGACCACATGCCGAGCAGCACGTAACGTGCCCACATGGCTGGAATATCATGTCGCGTTTGGCATCCGAGCACACCAAGCATTCGTCCATCGCGGGTGGAAGATTTTGGTTGACATTGCATTGCGGACCCATATCCATTTCGCCGCTCTGCTTCTCCTTGTAGCATTTCGTGAGCGTCTTGCACAAGTTGGGATCAGGGCAGAGGTCGAGCGGCGTTTGTCCCTTCTTGTTTTTAATGGTCAAATCGGCGCCGTTGCCCGCCAGAAAGCACGCGATGCTCGCCGACGACTTCTTGTCCGACCCTTGCGTCCCCAAACCCATGAGCAGCTTACCGACGTCTTGCACATCTTGCAGTTGTCGCAATTGCGACAGCGTGTGATGCCTCAACGCCTCGTGCAGTGGCGTGTCGCCATCTTTGTCGGCGATATTCAAATTGGCGCCTTCTCGCACTAAAAGCTAATAAATATTTGATAACATTAGGGTGCGCTCATCGCCGTGTACTTATACATCTAGGTAAACAAAGTATAGAGGCACATATGAGAGGACGCTTAGCGATTTTTGAACACCATCGGCGCGCCCCCAGTGCGCGATGCTTACCCTAACGATCTGAGTGTGTTGACGCTCGACGGCGAGATGTAGGGCGGTTTGCAAATTCACATTCTGCAGATCCATGTTGGCTTTTCCATTAAGTACCAACTGTTCGGCAACTTCCACATGATTATTTAATGCGGCTAAGTGTAACGCAGTATATCCGTCATCTTTTTTCTCGTCGACGATCCACGGCCTCGGTAGTTTCGCCAGCAATATTTTCATTGCGCTGGAAAAAAGCGAGCAGAACAACATCACTTAAGCGCTTCCGTTTTTATCGTAAATAGTCGGATTATGTGTTTACTTTAGAAATGAAAAATTTTCAAGGAGGCCACAAAGCACATCAAAGCTGTTAGTTTTACATTGAATTCACCATGGCGTCGATGAATTATAAATTCACAGCGACAAAAAAAAAGCGAAAGTGCATTGAAAGAACTTTCTTATAATAAGTAAAAAAAGAAACAAAATGATGAAATTAGATTGTTAGTAAATATTATGCAAGGCGCGATAAACTATACGTTCGTGTAGTTTAAGGTCATTCTCCAGATAGCGCGAATTCAGTAATTACACATTGGACATTATTTATTTTATTGTCTCTCATTCCGAAATGTGTGCCTGCGTTGCTGCTACCACATTCAGTAGTCGTGAACGCGGTGGCGTCGTGTGTATAATTTAGTCGCGTCGTCGTCGAGTGCGCGTCTTTTCGTTACAATATGCAGAGAAAATGAAGCAGTGCCGCATGCACACACATGTAGGGGCCTCAGTGTCGAACGTACGTGTGTGTACAATATACAAGATAGGGTCTTATTTATCCAGATGTGTCAGTGGGAGATAACTGGCGCGGCTGTTGCTCAGAGCGCGCAGCGCAGTAGCATCAGCAGCGAAATAATAAGCATTTGCCATTGCCGCCATTGCGCCTCCTCTCGCACATCGCTCGCGCTCTAAATGCGTAAGTAAAAAGAATACCACCAGTGGCTAGGAGACGGCCCAGCAGCCGCACGCATCGAATATTCCAGCGCGTATAATATTTCAAACTTAGTAGGAGGCTGCTGCCGCGCGTCCCGACGTTCGAATTTACAACTCAACTCGATTCCCCATTATAAATAGATAGGTACTCGACAAAGTTAAAACAACTTATAAATAGAAGTGCATTGTTTTGGATGGATATACACTCTCGGACGGGATGTTTGCCGGCTTAATAATAGACACTCTTTTAAACGCTAAAACGCTAAACGTTGTTAAAATGTGTTTTATTTAAAAAGAAATGTGCTCATCGATGAAAAATGCTGTGTTTTGTTTCGTAAGTGAACTTGCAGCTGAGCGCGAGTATACGTGTGTAAGTAATAGTTGCGCGTGTGATGCATTAAGCGAACAATTGTTTTAACATTTTAGACCTTCACCGGACCTTTCGGTTCAGTTTATATTTATTCATTAGTCGTCAATATGCGCACGAAGCGCGCAACGCTATGAAATCGTGTGATTTCGACCGAAATTGTGGTCATTCCCATGTGTTGTTGGCTTGCGGCTTCAAGTTAAAAGTCGTGTGCTGTGTGCTGTGCTCTTGGTCTATAATTGCATCGCAACGTTTAGATCATCGCAATATTATTGAAATGAGTCATACGTAAGCAAACGGCTCCATCGTGACCGCTGGATGCAATTGATATGTATATTTGTCCAAACGCAAGATGGACGAATGGAGGCTCGCATGTACGTATAAGTGGCGTGTGGTGCTGGTGCAGCGAAATCGCAGTGAAGTAACACACACGGTTTCCTTCCCGACCCGATGCTCATTTTTTACCGTTCGAATTTAAATTTAGCCGAATGCGGAGCGCACGCAAGTCACGAACGCAGGTCAGCTTTTAAGTCAAGTATAGAAGGGATAGGGATAGGCCGACACATGTGCTAACACCGCACATATGTTCCCTATAATTACCAAGAAAGCATCGATGCCGGGGTTTCGCCGGCGCGGCGCGCTTAGCCAGCGGCAGGTTTATTTTAGGAAAAGACAAATTTGGGAAGAGGGACTGGCTGTATGGCGTCACACCAATCGCATTCGCGGGTCCATTTTTAGACTTCAGCTACAACCCAAGAGGCAAGTTTACACTAATTTCGGGATGCAGGGTGCATTCGGCTCAGTCTCCGGGCGAATCTCGTCGCCGGTGAATGCTTCTTAGTCTTTCCTCGACCATTCATCATCGTCGACGTGCAGAGTCCGACTCTCGGGAGTGCCGTTTAGCATCGACTACTACCAGTACTACTACCTGAGGGCCATCCGGGGCCACGAGTGACTCGCATAAATTCCATCATCACTTTTCTGCATACGATGCATTTTTAACGCAAAGTGACACACTGTGAAATGGATTGTGCAACTCTGAGAAGATCAGCAGCCCGCGCAGTTCCGTACTTCCTTACTTCCCGTAGTGTTTAAGACTTATGGAATGTAAAGAAGTATGGAGCGATCGCCGGGTGCTTCAGCATAATACATCTGGTTGCCAGCCTACAGGAAGTGAAATACACATGCATCGCCGACAAGAACAGTAGCTGCTAGTGAACACACAGCCTGTTTATGTTCGTCATTAATTCGTACACTTAGTGAATGAATTAAAACCAATTTCATTACACACACAGCGCCAATCGTATAGAATTGAATGTTGTGAAACTCAAGAGTGATCCGGACCTTATATGGCGTTGACTCTACTGCGCAAGCGCGCGCCTTTTAAAATGGCGGTATCCGGTGCAAGTGTGTATGTGTGTGTGTGTTCATTCTAAAATGTAAATTATGATAGAAAAAATGCGAATTTAGATTCCTATATCTTCTCCTTCCATCTCTGACACCCTTTCAGGTAAACAATTTAAATAACACTGCATAAATTTCCTCGCCGCACAGCGCAGTTGTTATTCGAAACTATTCCAACCTTATTCCCGCACGCTCTCCAGCAATGCGCGACTGCTGCTCGCCGCCCTCGCCGACAACATATAGAAATGCATCGAATGAGTCTGTGTGGCACAGCGCACCGCGGAGAGGACAATGTAAATTACGGAAACAGTAAATTCACCAGCTAAAACAGGAAACGAATTCTACCATTCTACCCCCTCAACATAAATTATCGTCGTATTTGGACGAAACTGTTCGTGCCAAATTCAGCGCTTTCAACATGGCCGCCGGCGCTGCCGCGAATTAAGATTTGTCGATTTTCCAAGCAGCCGAAAATAAATAAAACATCAATTGGAGTGTGTTTGGACGTATATTAAAAATTCCGCTTATTTATCCTCGAAATAAAATTTCATCCGAGTATGTGCGATGCGATGTTTAATTAAAGCGGAATTGATTTTCCATTTTATTTTAGCGCCGCATAAAAGAAGCGGGCCGGTGCTCGAAAATGCGATATAATGCGCGATTTCTCGTTCGGTATCTGTTTCGCCGCTGCCGCCGCCCCCCGACGTAGGAACTTTGAGCCAAACTCGTATAACGAACGATATGTTTGCGTGCGCTTGCCTCGGCCCCGGCATTCGTTTGATTGTGTTGGGGGTGTGCAGGCGCGACACACTTCCTTCAATCCAAAAGTCCCGCTCTGCTCGCCCTCGCTTTTCATTCTTTCCACACAGCGCTACGCCGAAGAAACGGCGTTAGTTAACGCGCTTTGAACGCTTTGTATCATTTTATTTTAAATCGTGGTTGTTAAGCGGAGGAAGCTACTGATAGATTATCCGACGGGTGGATTCCGCACACGAATTTCCAAAAGAGGAGTGCTGAGACAGGAGCGCGTGACATGCATACCGGCCGGCTTCGTCCTGCATCAGCGAGGAGGAAATGTGTACGTGTGGTGCGCGCACCGGCAGTTTAAAGTTTCCTTCGTGCGCGCTTCAACTTTTCTTTCCGCGAGGCCAACGCATACAGTATGTTTTTTGCTTCCAAAAAAAAACCGGTTTAAAATCATCCGACGCGCATGCGCGTCGCTCCCCGCAGTCGAAATTAACTATTTTTAAAAGGGTAAATTATTGGCTTTTTATTACATCGCATGTTAACAACGTATTACTTTCCAGTCGTGATCTGGGGTTTGATCGTTCCTCGATGTGACTCGTATTTTTTATGGTCCCCAGGTTCGACTTCTCATTCCTCGCTTCGTTCGTTCGTCCGCTTTTTTCGTTTCGCTAGCCTAGATCGAAGCCGGTCGTGTGGCACCAACACGAAGCAGAAAAAACACGAGCATTAAGAAGTTTGCCTCGAAGGGGGCGAAAGAAAAGAGATAGTCGTCGCACGCGGCGCGTTGACTATTAAAAAACTTTGGATATAAACGACGCGCCCCGACGACGACGACGACTTGGTCGGACGTGTACGCGATCGGAAAGAATCGCAGAAGTTGGGATTTATTTTTGCCCAGCCGTGCGATATTGATTGCTAGTTTGGCGGCGAGCGAATTGCCGCCTCCGCCTTAAAATATTAACATTTTCGGAGCGGCCGTGGCATAACCCCATTCATATTTACACCCGGAGTGCGTGTTCCAAATGTCACACGGTGAAACATTTTTAGAAAACGGGCAAAATTAGTCGATTTTTACCGAAATACAATTTGATCCTATCGATTTCCGCCGCGCGCTGAATTTCAATTTATCGACAGTGCACGATTGCCAAAACACATTTTCGCTCGGCAAACAACATTCGATCAGCCGGAATTTATTTATAGTATCCATTATGCTAACCGGTAGTATGCGGACAACACAGCCTGCTGCTGCTGCTGGTTGCTGTGTACAACTTTTTGTACCCGGTTGTTTGCTGTCGTCGCCGATTTTGGGGTTAAGTGTGTCGCGTCCAAAAGTTACAAAGGCAACCACCACCACTGAGCCGTCAGGCGTCATTTATCAATGTGACAAAAATTTGCCACCGCCTGGTTACCTATTAATTATTTCGGACATCAAACGACCCCTATATGCCCAACATTAATTTCAATTCGCGTCCGGATCGCGAGTAAACAAATTAAAAGCGCACAATGCACTGCGCGCTATACGGTCAATTAATTAAATTCAATTAAAACGCGTACTCATTACAATGCGAATGGTATGTTTTCGGTCGCGCAGTAATAGCAATCGCAATCAGAGCGATAGAAATCAGTATGTGCATGGGGAAAAAATAATTCGAAAACTTTCCATCAGGACGAGTTTAAGTGGAAAGATACGAGCGGGTAAATGGGTTAGATAAATGCGAATGTTTGTGATATTTTTGGGGATGGTG